TCTCTACAGAATCCTTCTAGGAAATGCATCAGACTGAGGCATACTGGGCAGCCTCTGCAAGCTACTGGAAAACTACATGCTGCCACTCAGGGCAGTCTCAAGGCATCAAGTCTTCAGTCCCACTGCTTTTTTTTTTTTTTTTTTTTACTTCTGCTGACAAAAGCAAACAGCAAACTTTTCTGAGCTAAGCCAAGGCTTTCAAGATTCCCATCCCCACTAATTTCATCAAGAACAATGAGAAATGCAAGTTGACAAAGTCTTTGGAAAGTTTTACTCTTCAAAACTTGTCTAGAAGGATCCATACAAGAATCAGAACTTCAGCTCAAAAAGGAGCAAACATTTTTATCTACCACATATGAATGCATGGTCAGAAAGTTACTCATCATGAACACTTTCAATAACCAAGCTATCAGCTTTGTTCTTAAGGTAACTTCTCCAAAGCAAAACATCTTTACGTTGCTTTGACACCCACAGCTGGCAGTGCTTTACAGGTAAGTGCCTCGCAGTTAGCCTAATGGAAGTAACTATAGTTAGTGTAACAGATAGCAGCACACAAATCCAACACTAACCAGCTGGCACAGGAACTATCACTGTCTTCTTCTGTTTGGTTTGCCCCGTTCCTCGGCACATCACACATGGTGTTGTGATGATGGAAGCACGACCTCCACATCTTCGGCACGTAGATCGCATGACAAAAGGGCCTGTGTTTATTGTTTCCTAGTGAAGAAAACAGGTCACACAAATGATCGTACAAATATTTGCTACCAAGATGGTACTTCTCACTTCCACACCACCGACAGCGATTGGCCGAGCATATTTGGGCTCTCCTGATTGCACAAGCCTGATAGGGCAGTTCAGTGATAGCAATATAAGGATGGAGAAGATAAAAGGCTCAGAAATTCAAAGATGCTGCTTGTAAGAAGCTGGATCAGATTCAGTTGTCATATCAGAATTATATCTGGTTTCCACTGAAAACCATCACAACTATGAGCAAGCATGTCATGGCCAGGTGAAGTGAGACAACACTTCACCTCTAGGATTTGAGGCAGAAGCCAAGAATGAAGCTCCTTGCAGTGCTGTTTCACAAAGCAGTACAAACATCTGTATTCCAAGGAGCCCAAGGACAATTCACTTTCATGAATTATTGCCACTGTATGGTAGTACAGTGAATCACAGCCACTGATTGAGCACCTGGGGAAAGGACCAGTCAGCCCTGGGAGCACAGGTGAAGGCAATTCAGCTGTGTGACCAGAAGGGGTGGAGCCTGGCTGCACCTCTCTTAGACCTCATTTAAGGGCTGACTGCCACTGAGGAAGGATCTCTTTATGGAGATCCCTCCTTGGTGGAGTTTTCCTCTGTGAACCTGGAATCTTCTGATAAAGGTAAGCAATCTTCTTCCCTTCTCTTATAGCACCTTTCTATTGTGCTGATCCTTTGGTCGTTACATCTCTGGTGAAACACCTTTTCCCATCACACTGATCTGTCCAATTGCTACAGCCACCATCCAAGAAAGAGTTATGGAGACTAAACTATGGCCCCAACTGTGAAAGCCACTCCTCAGACTGAAACACAAGAGAAAACAGTGGGAAAAGCCTGCCTCCCACACTGACCAGCTATACCCTTTCTGTGCAAATCTACTCTGGTCACAGACTGACCGCCAGCTCCCACTGTGAAGCACAGAAATCTGAAGACTGAAGCTTGATTATTTCTTTACTTACTCTAAGTAGCATGCAACTTCTCATTCAGTGGCTACCCTAAAGCCATCCTTGCTTTCCTCCTCTCCCCACCCCCTCAATTCAAAGTATTCTATTTAAGTCCTAAGTAATTTCAGAATTGTTACATCGCATAAATATGGTTGACTGAACACAGTCCCAGATGACCTAGTCCTGCTTTTAGCTTGACAGCACATTTTTTTTAAATAAATATTCCTAGTGAAGACAACATCAAGTGTACGTTAACCTGGCTTCACTCAAGATAAGCTGATGATGTTAATGAGGAACTGTGGAAGGGAGGGACTTGTGCCAAGAAAGAAAGCATAGCAGAAGCTGTCTCTTAAGGAAGACTTACCATGCCAGTGCCATTGCAGTAGTGGCAGCGCTGCACTTTGGTGCCAGGTTCGTTTCCTTTCCCATTGCACCGCTCACAGGCATCATTGATGTTCACCACAATCTCCTTGTTAACGCCTTTTGCTGCTTGTGTGAATGTCAGATCCATGATATACTGTACAGGAAACACTGCCATCAGCCCACAGCCAATGTGTGATAGGATCTTAAGCAAACTGGAATTGGTTTTGGCCAAATATCAAACAATGCTTAAATTATATCCAGGTAATGGAGGGGAGAAGAAACAGGTGGATGCACAACACATTCAGAAGTGTTCTGCCTTGTTCTGGGAGGAAAGAGGCTGCTTCATATGAATAAGGGATACAAAAGGATGGCAAACATTACAGCAATGATAATTATACCAGTTTTGTAGTAGGAATGACTTAAAAATAGAGAAAGTGGAAGTTGTGTTTTTCTGTTCTTAGAAAAGGCCTTTAATATGTCCAAGCATTTTATTTAAAGGGAATACAGCAATGGGGACAGGTAGAGGCTTTCAATCCTAATGAAAGCATCTGCTCTTCCTCAATAAACTCCTTACTCAGCAAAGAAAGTCATCAGCAAAGATGACTCCACAAAACAGGCAGTTCTGCTTATCATAGAAAACTCATTTCTAGTTGAGACAGAAGTACTGAATACCAAGCATTTCTGAAGGCAGTACCTGAATCAAGGTTGTCAGTGCTTAAATAGCATTTTAGCCGCAGTACAAAGAACAAGAAATGGGTTTTAAAATGAGCTCCACTGCAGAGTTAAGCCAATTAAGTTGAAGAATTCAGCCAATTAAGCAGTCAAATCCAATGCTGGAAGGCTTGTTTTATAGTTTAAAGGCATTTTGTGGTTTTCAGCATTGCATTACAAAGCAGACATGTAAAATGATTCAGAGCAGGAAAGATGCTTTACAATGATAGAAACTGTTTGGCAGCACTGATGGCTGTGAGTAAACACCAGATGAAGTCCACAAAAAAAAATACTGAGTCTAGAGGTGTGGAGAATGCATCCCATGGCTTACCAAAAACAATCCCACCCTTACAACAGGACGCTCACATGCTGACCATCTCAGAAGCAAACTCTTTGCTGAAGCTTGCTCTGTGACAGTTTAATGTCACACTCCAGCTTTTCTGGTTTTCATTTTGCACAGCCAGCAAATACACCCATTTCATACCTCCTGCGGCTGGTCAAAGACATTCTGAAAGTCACCGAAGGAGGATCCTGAAAACTCTCCAAAGATTTTCCTGAAGAGTTCCTCTGGATCAATCGATGGACCGCTGCTCCAGTACTGGCGCCCAGCACCAGCACCTGTTGCACCAGGATCAAAACTGGCTGTCCCATAAGCATCGTACTGCTTCCGCTTCACTTCGTCACTCAGTACCTTTAAGCAAAAGAACAATGCCATCAGGACACTCCTCAGATCCCAGGCAACCCAGAGAGCCCTGGACAGCCCATGTGGGACAGAGGCAGCCCCAGGGGAACTCCTAGCTGTCTGCATTACCAACACTATGATGCTCAAACCTTTGTGTCATTAGGAAGAGCCTGGACAGGATCCAGGCTGGATGTGGCTCTGGGCAGCCTGGTCTGGTGGCTGGCGACCCTGCTCATGGCACAGGGTTTGAAACAAGATGATTTTTGAAGTCCTTTTCAACCCAGGCCATTCTGTGATTCTATGAAGAGCATCCCACTCTTGTGATCAGATGACTTAATGAAAAGCCCCTTCTTTCATGCTGTCTATCTTGTCATCAGGAAAATGGCAAGCTCTTACCAGTTTGTGATAAGCCAGGATAACTTACTTCACATATCTGATCATTCGTGTATTTCTTGGAAGCTGGTGCTAAGGATGCTTGGGTGAATTTGGAAGCCCATGAGAGGCACAGCCAGCACAAAGCAAGGCAAAGAGCAGAAACAGGGCACAGTGCAGTGGACCCTCCTCAAAGGCCCACTACCTGTTCTGTTTGTTTGCTCATTTAAGACGTGATTCCACCGCAGTGAGCATCTTTCCCATCTATGCCAATCACTCGCTGCTAAGAGCAAGCAGAAATGCAAAGAGCTGACAGCACGTTCAGCTACATTGGAAATGTGGGGGAGATCATTTGCTGGAGAGACGAGTGGGGCAGAGCTGCTGTAAAGAAGAACACGCTGACACTGCATGCAAACACAAGAGGAGGAAACATCCCCCCACCCGATCCAAGTGCTGCTCCAACTTTCCCCCTTTTCACGACGGCAAAACGCCTCGCGTTACCTCGTAGGCTTCTGCCAGCTGAGCAAACTTCTCCTTAGCTTTAGGGTCGTCCTTGTTTGTGTCGGGATGGTATTTCTTCGCCAGCTGAAGGAGAAAGAAGAAGCGTTAGGGGCAGAACCAATTTCCGCCAGCACAGCCCGCCGCCAGCACGGCGGCACGGACCCCGGCCGTGCCTGGTAGTACGCCTTCTTGATCTCCTTCTGGCTGGCGGAGCGCGGCACTCCCAGCACCTGGTAGTAGTCCTCCTTGCCGCGGGCCGCGCTGCTGTGGAAGGAGGCGGCGGGAAGGCGCGTCGTCCCTGCGGGAGAACGGAGCGCAGCGGTGGGGCCGCGATGCGGCCCGAGGCACCGGCGCCGCGGCCCGGCGTCCCCTCCCCGCTCACCCGCGTGCCGAGGCCCGGCGCCCGGCTGAAGGAGGCGGCGGGCGGCAGGGCCGGGCGCGGCGCCGAGCCCTCGGACGATCCAGACCAGCGGCAGCCGCCCGTCCCTCGGCCCGCGGCTCCTGACGGCGGCGGCGGCGGCGGCGGCCCCGAGCCAGCGTGAGGCGCCCCCGGCCGCCATCTTGGCCCGCGCGCGGCGCTGCGCCTGCGCCACGTCGGGCCGAGCCGCGCGTGCGCGGGAGAGCGGCGCGTGCGCGGAGCGCTGTTAGGCGGGGCGGGAACGCGTGAGGAGAGCGCGGAGGTGCGAGGGGCGGCGGGGCCGGGCGAGGGGACGCTGCGAGTCGCTCCCCCTCGGCGGCTGTGCCGTGGTTGGCGCCCGCTGCCGCCCGCTCCCTCTCCGCCCGCGCTGGCGGCTGTGTTCTCGCAGAGGTACGGGCTCCGACCGCGGGGCGGCCCTGCGAGACGAGGCCCGCGTGGGCCCGGCTGTGCGGCTGAGGGCGGACGGGGAGATGGCGGCCGCGCGGCTCCCCTCAGCCCGGCGCGTTGCTCCTGATGGCGGGCGCCGCACTCCTCGCGCTCCTTCGGCCGTCCGCGCCCCCAGCCCGGCTGAGCGCCGTGACGGCTTCGTGCCTCGGTGCCGACAGAGCTGCGCGCTGCGCCGTGCGGGTGCGGGTGCGGCTCCGTTAAGCGCCGTGCGGGGCGGGGGAGGAACGGAACGGCGCCGTGCGGGAACCGGGCGGGGCGGGAACGGGCGGGTGGCACGGCGGGGTGCGGCGCTCCGCTGCCGCTTCCCTGACAGCTGCACGCGGCGGTTGTGCTCGCTGCTGGGGGCGGAGCGGCGGCTGCTGACATCCCGCTGTGTTGTGCGCGGAGCAGCTGCTGCCAGAACGGGGAGCCGCGCCGAGCCGCGCCGAGCCGCGCCGAGCCGCGCCGAGCCGCGCCGAGCCGCGCCGAGCCGCGCCGAGCCGTGGGGCGGGGCTGAGGGCGGCGCGGCTCGGCGGTCCCGGCGCACCATGAACCGCTTCAAGGCGTCCAAGTTCCGGCACACCGAGGCCCGGCTGCCCCGCAGGGAGGTGAGCGCGGCGGGCACACCCTGCCGGCCCGTGCCGGGGGACGTGGGGACGAGCCGGGGCTCTTCTAATGGGGCGGGGCCGTGCGCGGTACCCGCGGCTCCGGGGCTGCCCGGCGCTCCGTGTGCTATCTCTCGGGGCAGGCGGCATCCCCTAAGCGATCCCTCCTTGGCAGCCGCCCGGGCTCCCGGCCACGGGCACTTCCCTGCCCGGCGCGGGCTCCCCGGTGCTTCTCCCCCACCCCGCGACCCAGGCGGAGGCGATGCGTGCCGCCCATCTGGTGCGTACTCCTTGCCGTACGTGTGCTTCCCAGCTGGCAGCAGTAAGGCTGTGCCCAACCTGCCCGGGCAATGTGTGTGTCAGGCGGGGAAGCGTGCGCTGCTGGGCACTGAGCACCGCGCCCTGCCCGTGCCAGCCCGCTTCCGCAGGCAGAGAGGAAGCACTGCAGGCTGGGGCCGGGTCCCAGCACCCACAAAGTCAGTGATAGTAAATACCCTCAGCGTGTGGTGTGCAGCCGCACGGTGCCCAGCGCTGGGCTCTGCAGGGCTTCTGCCCCATGATGAAATTGGACAACCAGCCCTGTTGAGTGGTGTGGCCCATCCTGGCTGCAGGTGCAGGGCCCGCTCTGCCCTGAGCTTGGTCGGTGTTGTCCCTGCATCCCCATCCCCTGCACACTCAGAAGGGAATAGGAGGAGACGCTCACTCAGGGATGGGCTGTGCTGAATGTCACTGAGCACTGCTGGGGTGTGCAGCTTGTCCTGGGCTCCTGGAGCCAGCAGGCTGGTGGTGTGGTGCAGGCTGCTCTGCTTATGAGTTGTGCTGTGGCAACAGATGGGTGCAGAATGTGGTGTAGACTAAATGGCTAGAAGTGGGGAGGGTGATGCTGCTGAAAGTCTTTTGGTTTTGCTGTCTTTGAAAAAGGTTTTGGCCACTAACATGTTTATCTCATGGCCTTTTGGCTTCAGAACTCTCATTTCCTTTAACTTCCCATCCAAATCATCCTTGCGCAAGGCTGGCCTGTCCTGTAGGAAGGGTCATGGTGACATCTGTGCCAAATCAGGGAGCACATGCACGCATCAGGACTGTCATAGCTCCACATCAGAGGGCCCAGGGGTCTGGCATTGGGAGTTTGCAGCATCCCACAGGCAGGCACATCCCTGTCACTGTGCTGTCGTCTCCAGAGCTGGGGGTGCTCTGCAAGACATTGAGGACAGGGTGCAGAGAGTCATTTGCTGTATTCATGGACTGTGTATGAAGGGGCCTTCTGAATGGCATTTCCCATCCAGTTGCATGGAGCTGGGAGCTGTGACCCCGCTCTCTGGGACAGAAGGCTCAGGTGTCGTTGCATCCCTGCAGAGCAGAGCTGCTTGTTTACTGTGGCAAAGACGGACACTTGAGCTAACTGGATGGGAAAGTGTGATGTGTACATCAGGATCACAGCTGGTTGCTTCTCCCCTCTGGCATTGTGTTCTTGTGACATTTCTAGATGTTTTGTGGCTGGGGACAGCTGACTGACCCTCCCATTTTGAGGACAGGAGCCTCCCCTTGACATAGAAAGGGTTAACAGGCCTGCCACCACGCTGTGTGCTGTGACAAGGACCAGAGGAAGTGCTGCAGGAACTGCTGCTCTGTCGGGCCCCAAGAGGAAGCTGTGCAAGGAGAGGAAGCTCAGGTCTCACTCTGGGGCCATGCAGCTCCTGTCCTGCAAATGGCTTTGCACAGCTGCAGGACTTGGGTGTCTGCTGCAGCCATGGGGACACTTGTGTGATGCCCAGCATCAGGTTTGTGCAGGGTTGGACTTGGCCCTGGGGCGTGGAGCTGTGATTGTATGTCGGTGTCACAAGGCTTCTCAGCACCCTGCTGATGCTGGAGAATGAGTAGCAGTGAGACTTTGGCTCAGGAGCTGTGGGGAAGTTCTTTGGCTGTGTGTCCACATAGGATGTGTTCTGCTGGAGGGGTTTATCTGCCATTGCCAGTGCCTCACTCAGCACAGCCTAAGAGACCTTTTCAACATCCCTAACTCCCCACCACTGTTTTACGCAAAACCCCCTGAGCCCTTCCCACCCCAGGACAGTGGAGGCCTGGGTTCATGGAGGGGCAGCACTCAGAGCAGAGGTGCTTGCTCCCTTCCTGTCTCTGTGGAGTGGTGGCAAAGCTGTCCCTAACCTCCAGCTGGCCCCAAACCCCAGCGTATAGAGGGGTCGTGACTGTGCCTGTGGGGCACAAGCAGCTGCTCTGTTCCATCCCTCCTGGACGGCAGCATCTCATGGCCGTGCTGCCAGCAGCCTCCAGGTCATGCTGTGTAACTCGTTGAAGGGGCTCTGTTGGTACTGATGCTGTCCATGATGCAGTGTCACCACTTTGTGCTCTCCTCTCCAGCCCTCCAAACACCACCCTCCCAAAGCAACCTCTTAACACAGATTTCTCTCTCCATCGCAGGCCTGGATCGGGGGTCTCCGAGCCAGCTCTGTTGCATCCTATGGGAACCACGTGAAGGCCAGCTGCCACTGGGTTGCCTTCAGTGCCGAGGCAGCAGGTGAGGTGCCTGGGGGTGTAATTTTGCCCTAAGAGCTGGGTGCCAGGCCAGCTGCATGGGGCACAGAAGGCCCATGTGGCCTGGAGCTGGTTCTTTCTGAAGTCCCCTGAAGGTGCTGTCCACCCCACAGTCTCCTCATTTTTCTTGAATTGCATGTGTCTCAAAATGTGGGGGCTTCCTGGGAGCTCTGATGGGTGATGCCCAGGCTGTCGGGCAAGCAGTGAGCTGCTGCTGTGTGTTCTCTGCAGGTGTGCTGGGCATTGTGCTGCTGGAGGGCAGGGATGGAGGCAAGAGGACTGTGTCTCAGCTCTGCTGCCACTCAGGTAAGCTGAGCAAGGCTGGGTTTTCACAGAGGAAAGAAATCAATCCTAGTCCCTTCGCTACAGAACAGTCTTGAGCTCTTGGGGAGCTTCCCTTAGCACACCCTCACCGTGTTACTCATTGCACAAAATGTCAGTGGAGCAGACTAGTGTAAAAAGCACTCTGGGAGCATAATTCTAATCCTTAACTTAAACCAAGCACCCTGCACAAAGGCACCTGGAACAGACCCGTGAAGCAGCAGCTGCCAAGCAGCCCCGAGGCAGAGTGTGTCTGCCCACACCGAGCTGTGATTGCAGCAGGGTGTACCCGGAGATGAGGGGAGAAGGGTGGGCCGGTGGCAGGATTGCTGCTGGCAGCACAGCGTGTGCCATAGAGGCAGAAGGCAGCTGGGGACGGGGGAGTCTGGGCACCCTTCTCCTGGGGTCAAGAGTGCAGTGTCCACCCATTTCTCCAAAACTGCAACAGAGGATCAAGATGGGAGCAGGCTGCTGAGCCAGTCTCAGCACTGCCTTTTTGCACACAGTGCTTCAGCATGGCTGCAGGAGCACGCAGCGTGCCTTAGCTGTGCTGTTTCCACCATGTCTTAGACTCTGGCATGGCATCCCCTCTAGTCACTCAGCCAGGGTGCAGCAGATGGGAGCTGCATCCTGCTGGCAAATGGATGAAACGTCTCCCTTTATAACTGAGGTGAGCCAAGGCAGGGAGATTAGCCAGACGCTGAGGCCCTTCTCTGTGCTGCCTCCTGCTGCAGGAGAGCCAGAGGCTTCAAGCTGTGCCCTGGCACAGTGACCCATGTCACCATCACAGCCACCAGGGCAGCCAAACTGCCACTTAAACAAGGAAGCCTGAAGCTTCCCAGCTACTCTGGGCTATGGTTCAGGCCATGTCCCTCCCGGGCTCATTGCCCTCCTGAAGCTGTTTGCCTGGCTCCATTTCTGCCCTGTCTGGCGGGTGTCCCTGCACCACCAAGCTGCCCATGCTCCCAGAGGAGCGCTCCAGGGGCAACTGGAGCCACGCAGCCCTTAATGGGATTTCAGCAGAAGCCCTTTGAAGCTGACTGTGCTTGGGAAACGCCTCCCTTCTGCATTCAAAGCAGAGAAGGGATTTTCTTCTCCCAGGGCAAACATAGCAGATAAGTCAGGAGCCAGAGTACATCCCTTTCATTTTGTGCCTTCTGGGCCTGCATCTCAGCAGCCTCATGGAAGCGGAAAAGTACACAGTGACCTACTTTCACCCGTGTGCTGAACGCATTGGAGGGGCTGCAGAGTGTGGTGCCAGCACTGCTCCCGTGGGGCTCTGCTGACGCCGCACAGGGCTGGACAAAGGAGCCTTGTTTGCTGGGTGCATGGGGCTGATGCAGACGCCCTCGTGCCATTGGCACTTCTACCACCCTGAACTGCCGGTGGCTTGGCGTGGGGGTGTCTGCTGTGAAATGAAAGCTGTTTTAAATAGAGAAATGCAGCTGTGGGTTGCTTGGTGCGCTCTGCCTGTGGGGACAGAGGAGTGTGAGGCCCTGAGGGTCAGCATGGGAGGCCATAGCAAAGCATGCTGCCCTGAAATGCCTCTGCCCCGGCTGCCTGCATGCACATGGGAAGGGCCCAAAGTTGTCTGCATGTGACGTGGGGATGAGTCTCTTCTCCTCTGCATGTGACGTGGGGATGAGTCTCTTCTCCTCACCTTCCAGATGCAGTGACAGACTTTGACTTCTCACCCTTTGACCCACTCCTGCTGGCCACAGGCTCTGCTGATGAAACGGTGAGTGCTAGGTGCAGGGCCATGTGGCTGTCCCCAGCCTGTTCCTAGGCCTTGCTGTAGAGTGGGGGAGAGATGGGTTCAGATGGGATGGGCCTCAGGGTCTGACCGTGTTTTCTGGTACCACAGGTGAAGGTTTGGCGCCTGCCTGAGGAAGGGCAGGAGCTGCCCAGCAGTGCAGGGCTGACGCTGGGTCCTGGCGGGGGCCCAGTGGACATGCTGCAGTTCCACCCAACGGCGGATGGCATCCTGACCAGTGGCGTGGGGAAGCGGGTCACTGTGTGGGACATGGGGCAGCAGCAGCCGCTGACAGGTAGGCCCAGCCCCATGGGTGTAGGAACAGAGAAACTGTGCCTGAGCCAACCTGGCCTGCTGTCTCCTGTCCTGTGGGGATGCTCACACTGTGCCCTCAGCAGGCCCTGCCGTCTGCTCTGGCTGCTGTGGGCCCTTCAGAAAGGCCAAACCATTGCACCCGAGAAGCTCTGTGGTAATGGAGGGTTGCATCCTGAGGTCCCTGGGTCCTGAAGGTTCAGGTGGAAGGCTTGTGAGAGGAGGCTGGCTGGATGAAGGGTGCTGCTCCCTGGACAGTGTGAAGTGGTGGGCATGTGGGCAAGGCTCACAGGGGCACAGTGTGCCAGCATTGTCCTGGTTTGTGGTTTGAACTGAAAGGTTTTGAATTCAGAAAACCAGCGGTTGCCTTATGTGACAAACATGAGGTCCACCTGGGGAAGAGAAATCTGCTTTGTCTGTGGTGTTCTTCTCAAGCAGAAGGATTTCTTTTGGCAAAAACAAATTGTTCAGGTGGAAAACCAGCATGGTTTGGCAGTATGGTGCCAAGCTGAGCTCCTGCTGTATGGAAAGCCTTGCCAGACAGAGGGTGGTGGGGAAGGGCTTGTTCTGTATGGCAGAGAACAGAGCCTGTGCCCAGCCCATGGTAGGCTCTGACCATTCTCTCCCCTCCCAGCACTGGAGGCCCATGGGGACCAGCTGCAGAGCATATCCTGGAAACATGACGGCTGCCTGCTTGGCACCTCCTGCAAGGTGAGTGGAGCACACATTGGGGCTGGGAACCTCATCTGCGCATGGTGACATTGCTGTGCACTGTGTTTCTGAGTGCGCAGTCCTCCTCCTCCTCTCCCTCCTCCTTTGCCACCTGCTGGGCTCTGACTGCCTTAAGCAAGATGCTGATCAGGCTGTTGGCAAAGCACTTGCTGACCTACCCTGTCACCCACACGGGATGTCTCTGGTGACCATATAAATCTGCTTGACACCCAAAGAACGTGGGGTGCAAATGGTGACCCCATTTGGGGGAGAAAGGGCAGAGCTGGGGCTGGTGAGTGGGATGGCAGCACTAGATGGCGCCTGTTGCTCATCGGCTGTGCACAGTACTGGATGCGCCAGTGTGCAGCGCATGTGTAGGCCTTGCATGCAGTCTGAGTCCACAGGCGGAGTGAGCAGGCAGGCCCCAGGCTGTGTGTAGAGGCCAAGCAAGGACTGACTGTGCAAGCCCAGCTGAGCATGGAGACTGAGCTTGCGTGCCAAGCAAGGGGGTGGTCCTGAGATGGGACCAAGTGTGCAGGTCAAGCGTGCAGACCAGGCTCCCGGTGCTCCTCTATCTCTGCAAAATGCCCATGGAAAAGGACTAGCACCAGGACATATTCCTGCTGTCCCAGCCAGCCCTCCCCGAGGCATTTGGCTGTGGAGTTGAGGCAGGGAAAGGCTCTCTATGCTGCTCTTGGGGTGCCAGGGAGCATTTGGGAGGATGGGGCTGAAAGGTCTGGTTCCAGCCACCCAGGCTCTGCTTTGGAGGCACAGCAGTTTTGGGAGTGTTCTGGAGCAGTTTTGAAGGTGTCATGGCCTCAGTGAGGCTATGGGGTGTGCCCATGTCCAGCCATGGGGCAGGACCTGCAGCATGCTGTGAGCCACAGGAGCAGGTTTTGGGGGAGGGGCAGGAGCAGGAGGCTCCCTCCAGCTGTCTGCATAATACGGCCTTACCTCCTGCTGGCCCCAGGGTCCTTAACCCTTCTCTGTTTTCTTTTTATCTCAACAGGACAAGAAACTGCGGATCTTTGACCCTCGAGCCAGCCCAGCTGCATCCCAGGTACTGTCCCTCCTAGCTGCACTGTGCAGCACGGTGCAGGTAGCCCTGTCCACCTGGGGTGTGCAGTGAACCAACCCACCCAGCCTCAGCAGGGCTCACATTATAGTAGGAGGCCCCGCTCGCAATGAGGCTGTCTGCTGGAGCCCAGTATGGACACATGGAACTCCTGCCCTCCCATCCACCCACCTGGTGAACTGCCTCAGTTCACTGGGCAGGAGGAACAACAGAAGGGCTTTGGCACTGCTGCCTACCTGCCCTGCAGGCAGCAGTCCCAAACCATTCAGGCATGAGGGCTCCAGAATGGCTCCTGGGCTTTGTGCTGCCATGCTGGAGCTGAGCAAAATGCTTTTGGGAATAAAATCCTGCCAAGGGTGAGGTTGGGCAGCTGGATTCGTGCAGCTCAGCAAAATAACAGTGATTAGGAAATAAGTAGATGACTTGGGTCTTGCCATCCACATCAAGTTTAAACAGCCTCTTATTAGAGGCTTCCTGTGGCTTCAGGGCTCTGGCTGCTGACAGCCGCTGTTTCCCTGTACAGAAGGGGTGGGAGGCTTTTGGGAGGGGAGGGAAGCAGCAGAGAGCAGGATGGGATGGCTGCAGTGTGCTCCTGGCACCACCGTGTGCCTGCCCCTGGGCTCTGGAGACCAACAGCCTCCAGTGTCTGCAGGTGCTCTCCGCAGGTGTGAGAGGTGCCTTGAGGCAGCCTTTGTAAATACAGCAGTACAGTATTTAAGTATAAATGCAGCAGTTATACATGCAAACAAGCCAGGATGAAGCACTCCCAGCCCTCCGAATGGCTCCGAGAGCTGCTCAACCTTGCAGAGAGGAGCCAGCCTCTGCTCCCAGATTCACTCCACATCTCCCCCCAGCTCCCTGCTCTCCCTGCCCCCTGGTTCTTCCCCTGGTAGTTCTGTCACTTTGTATAACAGCATTTCTGTGATGCTGTGAGCTCCGTGGGCTCCAGCCAAGTCTCCTGGGGCGGGTGGACTCTGTCTAGCTGAGCTATTAAAAATAACGTGTGAATGATGGTGTCTGTTCAAAGCAGGCAGCTCACTTCCCTCCGCTGCCTCCTGAGCCAGGCCAGGGCCGGCGCTGAGCCCTTGCCGGCACTTGGAGTTTGCCAAGAGAAATATGCACCTTAGCTGCTGCGAGGCACAGCACTGCAGCCATAACCCCGTCCGGCTGAGAATTGATGAAGATGTTTAGTCTTGGAGAAGTACTGTGCTGAAGGGGAAAACTTTAAAATGCTATAAATCCTTTGGAAGTTTGCAGAGAGCTGGCTTAGCCAAGAGGGATAACGCTCCTGTGTTTTGTGTTTTCCCTCTGTTGCTGGAGGGCCAGGGTGTTTGGAAGGGCTCCTGCTCCCTGGGGCCAACGTGGTTACAAAACCAAGTGCTGTCAGGGCCACCAAGTGGTGCCAGTGCCTCACTAGCTCCCAGCTTTGAGGCCCACTGGTTCTCACTGTGGTGGAGGAGGTGAGCGATGGGTTTCTAGCCGGCTCCGCTTGCAATTGTGGCCACAGGCTCAGCACTACTGCCAACACAGCTCCATCCCTCTGTAGCATGCTTCCAACAAAGCAAAGCTCAGCACAGAGCTGCTCCTCCGGCTGGTTTTCTTAATTTGCCAAGCCTGCCTCATTAAACCATTCCTTTTTTAGAGCAGAGGAAAAGGAAGAGAAGGAGCTAAAAGTGGAGCCTCGGGAGCAGGGAGGAGGGGTGGCTGCTGTGGGGCTGATGTCACTCTTGGGTCTCGCGGGTGCAGTGCACGCAGTGTCAGGGACCACAGGATGGTGAAGAGGATTTGTGGGCTGCCTGCCTTCTGCAGCCATGCCTGGGACCTCAAGCTGCCCTTGGGAGTGGCCAGTAGCCCCAAGCAGTGGCTGTTTGGCCCTCTGGAGCCCACGGTCATCTCTTTGCTGCAGCTGGTCCCATCGTGCCTCCCGCACAGCTCCATCTGGGTGTTGTCCTTTTGTGAGGTCCTGCATGTCCCATCCGCCGCCTTGACTTCTCCCAAGGCCACACTTTCCTCCCTTCCCTCACCTCCCACGAGTTCGGGGCTTATTACTGTACACTGTCTCCCTCCTTGCCTTGACCCTTGTGTTGGAAGATTTCATCCCATCCCTCCCAGCTGCAGCCGTGACAGGACTGGGTGCTTCTCCCCTGCTGCCTTTGCCAACCCTGCAGCAACTAGACATGAAGCATCCTTCTGCCCCTGGGCACTCCTGCATTGCTTAGACTAAGCCCTGGGTTTTGCTTGTGCAGTAGTTGTGGTCCTTCGTGCAGTGAGGACAGTGCTGGGATCACGGTGCCAGGCTGGGGTCAGGGTGCCAAAAGAGCACCAACACTGCAGGTGAGTCACTGGAATGGTACCAGTGGCATCTGGCTTACAGCATTGGCAGTGCTGGAGGTGATATCTTCTTTGATTGCTTTCCCAGCATCCTGATTTGGTGCAGCAGAGCCCTGTCTCCCACATGCAGTGTCCCGCATCCACCCCCGCGCTTGCATGGCATGTGCAGGGCTGCGTGCATCTGGTCGGCACCTGGCTCACATTATGGGGCTGGGGCAGGCGCCATCGATACGCTGTGCTGCGGGGCCACGGCTGAGCGCAGCCAGTGTGGGATGGAGAGGAACTGTGTTTGTTCTCACGAGAAACTTCCCCCGACGCTGTTTTGGCAGAACTGGGGGCGAGGGAACGGCCACGCGCGCCAGGCGAGTGCACGCCTGTGCTCACGTTTTATAGTGCTCCCTTGGAGCACAATGCTTGTGTGACCGGGGCTGAGGGCAGCTGGGGACAATTCAGGGTGTTTGTCCCCACAGTGGGTTATTTCCCTGCCTTGCAGGCCGTGTCATGGGGAAAGGTAGGGACCTGGGGGTGTGCACCTCTGCCCGCAGCTCCCCTGTAGCCCTTCTTCCACACCCCAGTCATTGCCTTGCCTCTGCATCCCACAAGCATGGCCACGCAGGCAGGGTAGTGCCAGGGCAAGGTAGATGTCCAGGCTGGAGCCATCCAGCCATGCCCACCACTTGGACCCTGCAGACCCTGATGTGACACCTTTGCCCTGGATCCTGCCTTGGCAATGGTTCTGTCCCTGGCTACTGGTCCAGCTGGGCACCGCTCAGCAGGGGAAGGAGCACCAGGACATGGGAGGCTCTCTGCTTGCCTCCCCACCCCAGCAGCGTGGTATCCCACGCTGGGGTCACCCTGGGGGTACCTGACTCCCAGCCTCAGCAGCAGCTTCCTCTGGGCAGAGGGAAGGTCTGCAGCATCCCACATTCCCAAGGAGACCGTGGGAAGCTTTGAAAAAGTTGGCCAAGCTCTGGGCTGCCTATTTATAGCATTGCGCGCTCTGTGCTCTCATGCTTCTGTTCCCCAGCGTAACTGCACGGGATTGTTTATATTTCCTCTGCTCTGCTTCCCCCTCGGCTATCCTTCGCAGGAATGCCGCTGGTATTGCAGATATGGGGAAGTCAAGGAGGATTCAGACTGAATCCCAGCATCAGTACGTGGGCCAAAGGGCTCACCCTCCGCTGGGTGCCCATCTGTCCTGCAGGCATACTAGGGACAGCTGTGTGGGGTTGGTGGGTCACAGCCTTACTGTGCTGCTTCTTGCTGATGTGGGCTGGGGAGTTGTGGGAGCCTCCTAGCTTACTGCCCAGAGGGCAGAGGGGTGCCATATTTGTCCCTCTCTACTGTGGCAACCACAAACTAAATCCAGTCTTCCCTTATCAGGACTGGCACAGAGCTGCTGGAGCTTTGCTGCAGAGAAGCTCTGTTTGCCGCCATTTGGATGCCCAGCAGCTGTAGTTTGGTGAGGTTCAGCAGAGCCACGAGGCTCAGAGCAGAGTACTTCGTATGTGGCTGTCAGAGAGGCCGGCTCTGTTGAGTTCCAACACCTTCTTTCTCTGCTTCAGGAGGAATGCAGCTTCTGAACACAAAGCCATCTTTTGGGGGCAAGCAGCCCCTCCAGCCTCATGTTATCCCCTCCCTGTGTTCCTCTGTTGGAGGAGCCGCTCTGCAGACGTGGGGTCAGCCTGCCAGAGGCTGCTCTGCACTCCTGGCCACCTCTTGAGCGAGTGGGATTTGGCAGCGAGGGGAGATTGCATTCTTCTGCGGGGAGGATGCACCATGGTTAACCCCCTCAGCTCCCCTGGAAGCCTTTCCTCTGCCCCCTAGGCTCGTGCCTGTTGGTGGCAGCAATTGTTTTCCCCATCCTTTTCTCCACAGGGTTTGGATGCCTGCAGTCTGTGGGCATGGCAGAACCAAGGGATCCCAGAGCTCAGGGGCTTCCCCCTGCTGCCTAGCCTTGCCCTAGGCTCCCCAGCCCCTGGCCAAAGGTAAATATTCCAGGCAGAGGCTGGGATCGCCCTCGTGCAGGAGCAGCTTTTGCTTTGTGTCAGGCTCTGCTAGGCAGCCGAGGAGCCGAAATGTGCTGGCAGCTGTTGCCAGCTCACGCTGACCCACTGTGGCTGTGCTGCCAACAGCTGCATCTGACACGCTAGGCATGCTCCCCATGGTGTGGAGTGCTCAGCCACCCCGTGTCCTACAGCGTCTCTGGGGCTCTTCAGGGCTGGGGACCCCACAGACTTGGTGTGAGCGCCAGGGCAGGATGGGGAGCAGGAAGGTGTTGGGGATGAGCTGATCAGTGTACACAGTGAGGCTGCCATCATCATTTGTCTCCAAACCTGGGTTCTTGCCCAGCTCTGGCAGCCCCATGGACCTATGTCCACTCTGGGACTCTCACCCGACCTCAGCACTCCTCTCACACCACCCCTTCCTGATCTCAGCATCTGCCTCCTGCACAGGACACAGGTGGGGGGTTCCCGGGGGCCCCCCGGGACCGGCTGCCACTAGGTGGAGCGGCACACGCGCCATCTGGCCCTGCATGCTCACCTCTGGCAACATCTGCACAGCCTGGTGTCTGAGCCACCTCCGAAACCGGAGCGCCCCGGCCCCAGCCTCCCGCATATTTGCTGACATACGTACTGCTCAGCCCGGGATGGAACTAATGCAGAAAACATGTTTCCCCGCCGCAGCGTGCGCAACGTGGGCTGTGAGCAGCGAGGCCCCGCCAGGGCACTGGGCTGGGCTGGGCTGGGCGAGGGTCCCAGCACCGTCTCTTCTCCAGAGTGATCTGAAGGCGCGTTCTGGCATGCTCTGCCCCATCCCACCCAGCTGGGGACCGTCTGTGGCTCCAGCACGTTGCTCATAGGAGTGCTGCAGCTCCTGTTGAGCTACATGTGCTGCAGAGAGGCACTGCCACTGAGCATTCCCTGCCTTTTGCCAGCTGTGCCACCAGGGCTGACATCCCTGGCTCCCCTGGTGCTGCTTGCTCCACAGGATTGGGAGCCAGCGGGGCCAGCACATGAGGCTTTCAAATCTCCAGCTGTCAAATTTTGGCTGCCACAGCCGTGTGGCTCAGGTGCAGAAGCAATCTCCTCGCCGACAATCCTGGCTGGGGTTGGGCTTTTAGCTCTCCTGGCCCTGGCTCCCAGGGTTTCCTTCCCCTCTCAGCACTGATACTGGCTCCGTCCTTCTGTCTAGGAGCAAGGCGCTGGGCTGGCGGGGAGGGCTAGCAGCCCCCCAGCCATCTACCTCACTGCCCCACTTTGGGGGCCCTCCTTGTCCTCACTGCAGTGACACAGCCCTCACGCTGCACAGGGGACACATCGCCTGCTTAACCTGGAAGTGGGACAGGGCTGAAGGAATGCTGGTCCTGGAGACATACAGGGTGCAGTGGGAAGGATCGAGCAGGAAAGGAGAACGACATCGGGGCGTCTGTTCCACCAGGGAGGTCTCCAGTGCCAGAGGAGATGTGTTGGATCTTGCCCCACATCTTGCTGCTGCTGCAGGGAGTACCAGGCTTGGCTTGGCTCCTCGCAGGCCATGCTGACTGGCATGGCTGTGTTTGTCCTGGCAGGGGATGTGCTTGGCACCATGTGCCCTCTCCCACCCTGGCTGTGGGCCCCAGCAGCTTCTCTATAGGGCAGGCATCCCACTGGGCCTTGAGGGGACTCCTGGCAGGGCTTCTCCCAGAAGTACAGCACTTCTGTGGGGCACAGCACCCCCATGTGCCTCCCACCCTGGGTATGCTGGCTCCCCCCTGTCCTTTGCAGGGAACAGAGTCAGGAGTACTGGGCTGTGTGATGGTGCTGGAAGCACAGCACTCAGCTCAGTTCTGCCTTTCCGTGACGGCTCTGGAAGCGTTGGTGGTTGGGCTGTTTTCTTGGCGCTGGTTAAGTGAGAGCGAGGGAGTTCCAGCACCTCCTGTGTCGCACAGCAAGCATTGCTGCAGGGTCCCGCTGGGACACCGGAACCGCAGGGCCCATCTGGGTACCACGTGGGAGCCAGCACTGTAACTCTTCCGCTCCTGTCCTCAGCAGAGCTGCACACCAGGGCCCAGCAGTGGGACTGGGGATGGTGCTGCAGAGGGCAGGGCAAAGTCTGGGTGCTCTGGGGGGTCCTGGCCTCACAGCAAGGCAAGGGGAGAGGGGCTGCTGGGTAGAGCAGGGCGAGGAGCGCTGCTGGACTCAGTTTACCATCAGTGTCTCAGTAGCCTCTGGACACACATGGGGCACCTGCCTCCTGAGCTGGGATTTGGCACAGATGAAGAGCCCAGGATACAACTGGGAAGTAAGTCCCTCTTGCACCCTGGCAGTGGCTGTGCTCATGTGTCTTGTTGCCAGCATGGAGCAGCTTTTTGGCACGCTGACCCCAGGCTCCACATTTGGTGCAGGAAGAGCCATGTGTGGCGTTGGGATCCAGAAGCCATCCCACCACACTCACATTCCCTGCTTCCACCTTTCACTCATCTCAGTGACCATATCAGCACCACTGAGGTGACCCCACAGGGACAGTCCCAGCATGGTGGCCATCCCCACTCCACTGGCACTCTGGCCACCCCTTGGTTGGGCCAAGCTCTGTCCCGTGCACTCAGCCCCGCGGTTGCTCACAGTCACGCTGTAGCTGTACACAGAGTGTGTCCTGCACAGTGTGGGCAGTGGCAGTGCTGACGGCTGTGTCTGCTGTGTGCCTTGCAGAGCGTCCCAGGACATGAGAGCAACAAGGACTCCCGGCTGCTCTGGATGGGAGCCAGCGATTGCCTCATCTCCGTGGGGTTCAGCCAGGTACGGGCCTCTCTGGGAGGGCAGCTCTGTGCCAGCCGGGATTTCCCACCCTGTGCCAAGGCCACAGCACGGCCTCCCTGTGCATCTCCGCAGCGCTGGATGGGGCTCCCATCTAGCGTGATGGCTGCAAGGCAAGGCAAGGGCAGTCCCAGGGGCTGTCTCAATAAGAGCAGGCTTGGAAAAGGAGGAGATCTCTCTGTCCCTATGGGTAGGAGAGCCTTCAGCCACCTACTGACCTTGCAGAACCCTGGCTGCAGCCATGTCGAGCCATGCTGAGCTCTACTGACCATGGAGCTGCTAGCACAGCAGCCACTGGCCCTCATACCCACAGCCGCTCTGCTGCCCGCCCTGCACTGCACCTGCAGCCCAGGATGCTGAGTGCATTCAGCTGTGTCACCCCTGGTAGCAGGAGCAGGCTGGCCATGTGCTGTAGCATGTGGGAGCAAAGCAAGGCAAGGATGTGGAGCGAGACAAGCAGCCACTGATGCAATCCATGTCTTTGTCCCTGCAGATGCGTGAGCGGGAGGTGAAGCTCTGGGACACGCGGAAATTCAGTGGCGCGACTTTCACCTTGGCACTGGATACCTCATCTGGGTAGGGATGGGGAATTACCGTGGGGTGGCAGAGGGGGGACGTGGAGCAGCACAGCAGTGCTGAGCGGGGATGTGCTCCAGTGCTTGGGGACCTGCAGTGAGCACAGCAGGAGCTGGTGAGTGGCCCCTGATATCAGCAGCACTCAACCAGAAAGCCAGGGGCCAGGCTGGAGATGGCATGGCCGTGTCCCTGGCACCAATCACTTGGGATGGGCGGGAGGTAACAGTGTCAGGGACAGTGTGTCTGTGTCCTCAGCAGCGCTGTGACAGACAACAGCAGTGCTGGCAGTGACTGCGTGTGCTGCGGGTGGCGTATGTTGCTTGAGAACAGCCAGGCCTCTGACACAGTACAGCATGCGGGGGAACTCCTTTGGCACAGCTTGGCCCCCGCCCTTTACTTGTGATGGGCTAGGCACTTTGTGCAGCAGCACAGGGGTTGCCCAGTGACAAGGGCTGTCTTCAGGGCATCCCTTTGGGAAGTGGTACAGTGGCTCTCAGGGCTGTAAGAGGTCAGCGCTTCTTTTCAAGGTGTGATGATGGTATCTTTTGTCTTTGTGGCACCACTGGGGCTGTCGAGGTGACAAATGCCCCAGTTCGGGCTGGCCTCATCACTCCCACGTACCCCTGCAAGCTGGCCACAGGGGTGCACACGGGGAAATGGGAGCTGCTCAAAGCCTTCATCCCACCAGAGTGATGGAGGCTTGGGGCAAGGCCCTTGCTGCATTGTGCTGGAAGCCTCTGGCTCTCCCCGGAGTTGCTGGCAAAGCAGAAGGGACACCAGGACCCTCGCTGCACAGAACTGGCTCCATTACAGGCCAGAGTGATGGAGCAGGCTAGGTGATTGGAGCAGCTGGTTGCTGGTCGTGGCCTCTGGCAAGGAGTGAGTGAGCTGTGACAGCAGAAGCAGCACTTGGCTGCCCTATTGCATCCCCACATGAGATGTCTATCAGGCCCGAGACAGCAGTTGGGACCTGCAGGAGGGGAGAGGAATGGTTGCTGCTTTGGTGTGGAAATATTGGCATGTCCCTGCTGGGAAGGTCAGCCTAGCATGGTGGCCAGGGAGCAGCCAGAGGTGGAAGCAGAGAAGGAGGCTTCAAAGAATTGCTCATCTCCTGCAAGCTCCCAGGGCTCGGGGCTTGCTGGCTACACTGGGACAATAGGCAGAGGCAGCCTCAACTGGCTGTGCCTCCAAAAGAGCGAGACTGCTGCAGGGGAAAACACTCCTTCCCCAGTGCTGGTGGGGTGCTCCCGGGCTGTGGCTGCAGCCACCTCCCTGTGTGCCGTTAGTGCCCAGAGTGAACCTCCTCCAGGGGATTCACACACATGGCATGAGGCTAAAGGGTGTGATGCTTTGGAGTCCTTTATGCAGAACCCCACAGCTGTGCAGTGTGCCTGCAGGAATCACCCCAAACCCTACCACTGCGTGGCCCCTGTGCACACAGGGACTCAGCTGGGGTGAGCCAGCCCATCTAAATTGGATCCAGACATGGGGCCGCACTCAGTCCCGTTTGCGCAGGCTGCAGTTATTTTGGCTGCCGGCTTTATCGGCCGCCAGGAATGTGGCTGGCAGGCAGCGCGTGGTCTGTCAGCCCGTGGCTTCATGAGGCTGCAGCTGCATGGCAACTGGTGCTGATAAGGCGGCGGCAAAGAGGGGCCAGGAGCACACGGGGCCTGGCTCTGGGGAGCAGTGAGCAGAGAGAGGTGTTCGTAGTACAGACACAGGGGTCACACACAACCCATCCCCACCGCAGCTGGGGATGCGGCCACCTCTGGGCCGGGTGTGGAGGAGCTGCTCTGAGGCACCACCTCAGAGGTGCCAGCCCCCAAGCTCGTTGCTACCATCTTTTCCCCACTGCGCCATCTCCATCCTACCACGCCCCACTGCCCGTGATCAAGTTCGTACACGGGCACACTGGGTCTCCATCACGGGCACACATGGCCATCGAGCAGCGTTGCCTGGTGCTGACCATGCAGGCTGCATGGCGCAAAGCAGCTCATTGAGGAAGCAATCAGTGGGCGGGCAGGAAGCTCATACCATTCATTACTGACGCCGGATGGCAGGAAGGGGAGCATGCAGCATGCCTTGGGCCCCTCGCCTGTGTGGCGTCAGGTACCCAGTAGCACCCCAAAGCAGATAGAGAACAGCTGCAGCATGCCCAGCCCCGATACACTGCCATGCCCCCACTGAGCCCTATGGGTAGTTGTGTTCTTTCCCAACATCACTGGGGAGGGGGCACCCTAGTTTCTCCTCTGCATTATCAAGTGTGTTTTGGGGGTGCCCATCTCACCTGCGCGGGTGAGAGCTGTGCAAATGCACAAGCCTTGCTATGAGAGCATGGGGCAGCAGCACCTGGCACTGCCCACATCCTGTGGCAGGAGGCATGGGTGGCCCCCACCCCACTCCATGTCGCCATCCCCAGCATGCCGCCTGTTGCTCCTTTGAATCGGGTTTTGTCTTCCCTCTGGCCCTCTTTAATTAGATCAAGGAGCAGAAGGAATAGGCCTCAATAGGTTATTGTTGCCCTAAATTGTAACCAGCACCGGTGGGGTTGGGTTACGGGCTCAGCCGCGGGGTCAGCGGCCAGACCCGATGCAGCAGCCCACAGCCTGGTGCCATCTCCACGCGGCGGCGGCAATGAGAACAGTGGTGCCTTGTTGTGCTGCACCACCAGCTCTGCACAGTGTCCCCAAAGCCCCAAAATGCTGGAAGCTGGGTTCTAAAGACAGGAGCATCTGCCAGGAGCCCCATCTGCTTGGCATCCCTGTAACGGCACCTATCCTCACACCCCTCAGTGCCACCACATTCCCATTGTGCTGCAAAGATGCCATGAAAGCACTGGGTCAGGGACAGTTTTTGGGGAGGGCCAAGCAATGGGGCCCTGCATGAAGTGAAGTCCTCAGGCCTGGGCGGCACATGCAGGGAAGGAAGGCAGTTTTGGAGAGCTCAAGCTTTGGCTGCAGGATGTGAAGGGTGGTTCCCCCTGGGGATGCTGACCCCAGTGGACAGGCTCAGTCTACTGCACCCATCAGTGTTCCAGAGCTGAAGTCGGAGCTCAGACTGAGGATTTGCTCACTCGGCATCTCCCAGCTGCAGGGCTCCAGCTCTCGTGCATGCCAAGGCACACGCCTCCAGTGTCACACTGCCACTTCCCCACTCATTGGCTGTGATGGACTGTTGATGCACATTTGGATGTGATCTCCACACCCTCAGCCTCTCAAGGCTCCCCACTGCAATGGGACTCATCCTAGAGGTGCACACATCCCCCATTGAGTTATTTCCATTCCAAATCCCCATGCAGGTAGCTCCAACAGGACCTCCGCCTGTCCTCATGTGGCCATTGAGCCATATGTGCTGGCTTTTCCCAGCACCTAGCAGCCATTTTCTATGATTTTGGGTAGCACTGGGCATTTTGGGGTTTTCCAACAACACCCACCCCATCAGCAATGCCTCAGTGGCAGAGCCCTGAGCAGGGTGGATCTATGTCCCCCTACCTACCTCCAAAACAGGAGCATACCTGCTAACCGCCACCCTTACCCCCAGGCTTTTCTCTCTGCTCCTGCCAGCTCCTGGTGCCCACACCTGGCACAAGGAGGGATGGAGGTGTCCCACTGCTGCTTGGAGGGGTTAACGCCGTGTGGCCCCGCAGCCTGCTCCGCTCATCACGCCGTGTAAAAATAGCCCTGTGCCTTGCTCTGGCGGGAGTGTGGTGAGCTCCGTCACTGCCGAAATCGCTCCCAGATGGGCCACAGCCCCATCCCAGCCTCGTGCTGGCCCACAGCCGCCTCTGCGGGCGACCGCCGCTCCCCAGCCCTGGCCTCGTCAGCTTTCCAGGAAGCCGGCAATATTTCTGCCTTTCCACAAGCTCCTCCTGGCAGCCAAGGCTTCACCGCAGTACGCGGGGGCTGCAGGACACTGACACACATGCCACCCTCCTCCAGCTCCCTGTGGATATCCCTCACCCCAGGGCAGGGGGCTGGAGACCCTGGCATCCCTGCTGTGACCCTGCAAAGCTGTGTGCCCTCCCAGGGCTCTTCTGCAGCCACCGCTACCCAACATGGGCTGCCAGGTGTTGGGGACACCATGACGTGTCCCACTGCCTGCTGAGCCCCAGCCTTAGTGCTTTGTCCCCAGGGCACTTGGTGACCACCCTGTGGGTTTGAACAGCAAAAGGGATTTTTTTTTGTTTCATGTCAGGGGGTTTTGCAATCCTTTCCCCGCGCTGATTCAGCTCGGAGGAATTAGCAGCGCCGCACAATGTGCCGTGCTCATCTGCTCTGGGCTGCAGTGAAGCTGGCAGCAGGCGGGGGGACTTCTGCACTTAGTGTAGGGAATTGTGGGGGTTTTGAGGCTGCATATTTGGGGCTGTGAGGGCAATTTTGGGGCTGCAACAGCACTTTTTGGGTGCAGTTGAGCTCCTGCAGAGCCGTGTGGGCTCAGAGATGTGTGCCAAGTATCAGGGGATCCAAGTGCCACAGTGCAGCATGCTTTGTTGCCACTGCTGTGTTCCCACATGCCAGGGCTGTGCTTAGCCACAGTACCCAGCATGGTGCCCAGGGGACCCTGGTACAGCAGCTATGTGCTGGGGAAGCAGGGAGGTGGCAGCAGAAGGGCTGTGGAATGAAACCCCAAGTGCAAGATGAAAGCTGTGCCATGTTCCAGCAGTATCCTTGTAAGCCACTGTGCCGATGCCGTGGCATGGGTGGATGGGGACCAAGTGAAACCGCTGTGCCAGCACAGTGCTTAAGAGCTGCTGAAAGCTGCCAACCCAGCAGGGTCCTGGAGCCCGTAAGAATAATAGGAAAGGAAAAGAAAGGGGCACAGGGGGAAGGGGCTCCATGGCCAATCCTGGCTGGGGCCACAGTGGTGACACAGGGAGCACCCACCACTCGCCGGCACGGGGCTTGAGCTCCGCCGGGGAGTTTTCTGCTCTCCTCCTCGCAAGGCTGGAAAATATACAAAGCTTGCAGTGAAAATATTTACACAGCAGCAATTTTCAGAGGAATTTGGGATGTTAATTTGAAAAATCTGTGGGGAGAGAACCACAATGGGCCCTTTGAGCGGGCGAGCGTGGCCCTCGCGCCTACCCGCCCGCGCCGGAGAGGGGCCCCCACCACCGCTGTGCCGGCCCTAATGGGAGCCAGCCCTGCCGGAAACCCACCTGGGAGCCGGGGGGGTGCAGACGGCCCCGCCGCCGCCCCGCGCCCCTAATTGCATCCAGAGCACACGAGGCCGGGTCAGGGCCGTGCCCTATGGGTGCACCCAGGGGGCCCAGCGAGGCGGGGGCTACAGGGTGCTCACCTGAGGAGGGGTTCCTAGCTCCGCAGCCCTCTCGGCAGCCTGCCGTGGCGGCATTTCAGCCTGCTTTGCTCACTTTCTCCAAATAAAACATACCTCCGTGGGCAGGGACCCAACCTGGAAAATTCCAGCCCGAAAGATAAAGGATTGGAAAACGATTAAAACCAGAGGTTGGAACAGAAAGCACTTGGCAGCAGGAACCTAGTGCCGGCCCCAAGCCCCTGCCGCAGCCAGCACACAAGCATGGCCGGCGCTCACACAGGAATGGGGGCCCGACGTGGCTACCCCAGCCCTTACTGTGGTCACAGCTCCTGGGCAGGGGGCTGTGACCGTGCTGCGGGCTGCAACCATGCTGCAAGCTGCACTTGGCCACGCTCATCCCAGGCACATAAGGGCTGGAGGCTTAGTGCCAGCAGAGCCCCCCGCAGCCCCTCAGCCCTGCAGTGAGGAGGAGGAGGGTGACGTCAGGAGGTTATCGGGTTGGGCCGGGCTGTGTGTCCGCCGCCCCGCAGCCATCTGGCAGCGCACGCGATGAAGTCAGGCGGGATGATGTGCAGGGCCAGCGCGCGTTCGGAGCTCGCCGCCTCTGTTTTGGTGACACCTCCTTAGCACTCGCAGTGGGGGGTGGATTCGTGGGGGGGGAACCTCCTCAGAATGGGGGAAACCACCCTCTGTGCTCTGAGTCATCTGCTGACAGCAAGGAGGGGACAAGGGGACACAGGGACACGGGCATGGCCCTGGGGCAAGCCGTGCTGCACAGTCGTTGGGGGGTCCTGCAGCCCCCACCCTGCCAACTCTGGGTAGGATTTCTCGTTGTTGTTGTTATTCTTTTATTATTTTTTTTACAAAATGACATCCTTCTGGTCTGCCTTACAAAACCTGTACTAGAAAAAGTCTTCCCAGAAGAAATGGGAAATAACCGCGTATAAATATTCTCTCTGAGTTTGTAAAGCTCTGGTTCCCCGTGCGCCCGCGCGGCGCGTCCTTCAGCCCGGTGGTGCTGAGGTGCACAGCTCCTCAGCCGGGCCGCGCCGCTCACATCAGCTCCAGGGATTGGGGACCGCAGCCACGCTCCACTGAGGGGCCCCTGTTGCCAGCACATCGCTGCCCCTCAGCCGAGTCACCGCCGTCCTCCTTCTGTCTTCCTTCCTAGCACTCGCTAAAACAAGAAGGCCGACCCAAACCCGAATTAAAAACCAAAACCTTCGCTGCCTGTGTTCTGCGTCAGGTCACGGGAATCAAGGCGCTTAGGCCGAGCGGTGCAATCGGTGACTGCTCCCCACGTGTGTAAGCCCCTCAGAATTGCACGTTATGGGTTTGGGCTCTGCCGCAGCTCAGTTAACTCCCCGCCGTTCCTCGACCTGGAGGTGCCACGCAGCACTCCCGGCTCAGAAGTAGGAGGGCTTCAGTGCTGCACTGTTGTTGTTGCTGGGATAGTGTGCCTGCATCAGTGGCACCTCGCATTCGGGGCCACCCGCCAGCACCGCGTTCTCAGGCCCCCGGCAGCCGTGCCCGCTCCGCTCGCCATTCTCTAGGCACGCCTTCACACCCTCCAGCTCCAGCGGGCCAGCCTCCACCCCACCTCCTGCATGCTCCTTGGCCCGGTGGTGCCGGCGGTAGTAAGTGACTGCCGTCACCACCACCACCAGCAGCAGCACAGCGGCCAGCGCAGGGACGATCATCAGGGCCAGGTTGTTGTCCTTGCTCTGGGTGACAGGTGAGTGCTGCTGGTGGCTCGCCGGCAAGGTGTGTGCCTCCACACAGAAGTCCTCCCTGGAGCCCTTTTCCCCCAGCGGCCCCACACACACGCGGTAGGTGCAGTTGGGTTTCAGTGCCCGCACTGTGTACTCAGAGAGAGAAGCCGGCAAGCGGAGCATCACGGGGCGCTTCTCTGGCCCAGAGAGGTTGCGGTAGCTCAGCCGGATGCCCTTCAGCTGGGCTTTGGACTGGACGTAGTTCTGCAGGTCCACCCGCAGTGAGGTGCTGCTCACCTGTGTGATGCTGATCTTCCGGCTTGGAGGTGCTGCTGGCGTGGCTGGGGACAGCGTTGTGCCCCTCGCTGCCGCCTCCTCCTTTTCCTCCTCCTCTTCTTCCTCCTCACAGAATGCCCCAGCAAAGCCTGGTGGGCACAGGCACCGCAGGTGACCATGGGCACCCAGCTGGCAGGTGCCACCATTCAAACACGTGCGTGGGGGGCACAGCTGTGGCGGAGGGCTGCTGGCAGCTGGGGTGAGGCTGAAGGGCACCGGTGTGGAGCTAAAGGGGACGGCGCGGGGCTGCGGGGTGGTGGTGGTGGTGCTGGGCTCCGGCGGCGGGCGGCTGCCGGTGGGAATGGGCACAGGTGGTCGTGGTGCAGTGGTGCGTGGAGGGGAGGTGGTGGCAGCAGTGGTGGTGGTGGTGGTGGGGCAGCCAAAGTCGGCATACTGCAGATGGTGGAGGAGCTTCCCTGAGTTTTTTGGGGGGAAATGGCAGCGTGTCTCCTCGGGCCGCCGGAGGAGCACACCACTGGCGTTCACCCACTGCACGAGCCAGCTCATCTGGCAGATGCAGTTGAAGGGGTTACCAGAAGCTGTCATGGCACGGAGCCTCGGGAAGAACCTGGAGAAGTCCCGAGGGATGGTGTTGATGTTGAGGTTGCTGATGTCCAGCTCCTGCAGGTTGTGAAGGCCGCGGAAGTCCTCAGGGGGCAGCTGGGAGATGTGTGCGTTGCCGGCCAGGCTGAGCTTGGTGAGGCTGCCCAGGCGCCGCAGTACCACCGGCACGCGCTCCAGCAGGTTGTCAGAGACGTCCAGCTCGTGCAGGTTGTTCTGGGGCTGGAAGAGCTCCTCGTCCAAGCTCATCAGGCCCAGCCCTGCGATCTTCAGGGACTCGATGTTTATGGCATGGAGGGTGCCAGGCACGATGCTGGGGATCTTGTTCCAGCTGATGTCCAGCAGGAGGAGGTTAGGCAGGTCAAGAGGGGGCACGGCCCGGAGCTGGTTGTTCTGCAGCTTCAGCTCCAGGAGATTCTCCAGCGTGTCAAACGCGGTGGCGTGGATGTGCTGGATCCTGTTCTTCTGCAGGTAGAGCCGCTCCAGCAGCCGCAGCCCGTGGAAGGTCTCGTTGGTGATCTCCTGCAGCTGGTTGGAGGACAGGTCCAAGTTGACGAGCTCCGTTAGGGACTGGAAGATGTTTTTCTGGATGCTAGTGATCTTGTTTTGCGAGAGGTCCAAGAGCTGCAGGGCAGGCAGCCCTGCAAAGCTGTCCTCGCTGAGCATCGTGATACCATTCTCAAAGACATAGAGGGAGAGGGTGCTGGGGGGCAGCCCTCGTGGCACAGTGTGGCCCCGCCTGGCCGCACACAGGATGGTCGTGGGGTCCTGGCACTGGCAGCCTGTGGGACATGCCTGTGCCATCTGCCCAGGGAGCAGCAGCAGCAGCAGCGTGCAACGGACCAGCTGGTTCATGGTGTCAGCTCTGTGGGAGAGAGAGATTTGCATGAGGATACTGTCGCCCAGGCACGCATGGCTTCACACACAAAGCACACAGCATTTTGGGCAGCACTCAGGAAGGGGCTTGCTCCAAACTGCCCCCAGGCCAGGCTGGCGTGGGAGCCCCTGACCTGGCTCCTGGTGGGGCAGGGATAGCTGTGCTCAGCCCTGCCACCACTGGCTGCCCACCTCTCTTCCTTCCCTGCCTGGGACACCCCAGCCCCAAAGGGACCATGGCGGAGCCTGAAGGCCTCTGCTACTGCTCTGCCCCATGCATGAAGCAGTGCACGGGCTGCTAAGCGCCCTGCTGTCCCGTCCCCACATCCCCTGGATTTAGAGCCAAGCACCCCCAGCTCCTCCATGCGCAGTGTCCTGGCTCGTGGGGCAACACGACCCCCACGGCGGGCGGCAGGGAAAGGGCCCCTCCTTTCCCGGCTGCTCTCGGCAGGGTGCAAACCAAACATGTGGGACGCGCCGCCTCCATCCCAGCAGACGCACCCGCCTCGGCCTCCGCCAGCGAAGGGGGTGGGAGCCAGCCCTGCTTCCCGCAGCCGAGCAGGACTTAACCCTTTCCTTGTGCCGTCTGTGCAGCAGCCACCCGCCTGAGCCCCCCGGGACCCCACACCATAGGATTCTGTCTCTGCCATTGCTTCACCCCATAAGAGCTGTGAGGTGGCCCGCATGGGGTGGGTGTGTGGCCCCCAGCACCAGGCTGAAACCCAGGACGGGGTTTTGGGGAGTTTGTCAGTACTTTGAGGTACTCAGATGGTGATGCTGTTTACAGCAACCAGAGCTGGAGGTTTCACCTACACGAGGGAAGCACAGGAGCTGGTGGTGGCAGTGGCACTCAGGAGCAGTGGCACCTGGAGGTAGCACTGCCATGAGGTGACCTGGGCCAATGAAATGCTGGTGTGAGGACAAAGCAGTCACTGCCCCTGTCCCAGCAGGGTGGCTTGGGGCTCAGGGACACAGCTGCAAGGAAGAAGAGTGGGTTCTGACAACTTGGGGACAGTAGCACTGCTGATGGGCAGTGGGGAGTCACTGCCCAGCCCTGTCTTGCTCCAAGGGCCCTGGGCCAAGCTGTGACCTGCAGTGGGCCCAGCCCTTGGCAGACCTCCAGTGCTCTTGTCTCCCAAATCCCTGGCTGCACGTGGCAACTTTGCATCCCAAAAAGCTTCCTCTGTTGGCATCCCAAGATTCTGGCACAGCACCAGCCTCGTTGGGTTGCAGAGCCCCTGGGCTGCAATCCCCATCCCTCTGGCACTGACTGACTGGGGACAGAGGAGACCAAGGAGAGGATGTTCCTGGTGTGAGCAGGGCTGGAACAAGCCCTGCTCCAGCTCCTCTGTGCCCATGTCCCAGGGACAGACATCCTGGCTGATGTCCTTGCTCAGGACACAGCTCGTCTCTCAGCCCTGTCTTTCAGCCCTTTTAATGACAGCCCTAATTAGTGCAGGCAAGGAGTGAGACGCAGGGCTGCAGGAGGGCCAGGGCCCTGCCTCCTTCATCACCCCATGGCAGGGCACATGGGGTGACAGAGGGGACTCTGCAGGGTGCATGGCCCTAGCAGCCCCTTCCCAGCGCGCCAGTCACCTCCTCCCCTCCTGCCGGGCTGCTGAAAGTCGTTAATAGCTGCAGGCAAATAAAACCCTGCAACTCACTGGGGCCCCGCTGTGCGCGGGGGGCTACCGGCTAGCATAGCAGCACGTGCTGCTGGCTGCCCCATGCCCCACCATGGGGGGCCTCAGCTGGGCTGTGCCGAGCCCTGGTTGTGCCGTGGAACAACACCACATCCCAAGTCCCCCCAGATCACCGCACTCGCCTGCAGCAGGACAGGGTTAAGGAGGAGGCTGTGGGCCTGGGGTGCGCCCAAGGGTGGGGTGCACCCGCGCCGCTGGGCAGGGTCACCACAGCCGCCTGAGTCACTTGGCCCAGGGACACCAGCACTGGGAGGAGCCGCTCTGTGGCCATGCAGTCACGGTCACTGAGCCCCCTGCCCACACCCCGTGCGTGGGTGACCCTGGGGCAGAGTACCCAGCGTGCCATAGCCATGGTGATCGGGCTGTGCCAAAAGAGCATCATGCAGCCTCATGAAGTGGCTGGGGGACACTGCTGGCATTAAGCACTGAGCTGGCAGATGGAGGTGACAGCATCAACCCTCAGCTGGGACATGGGGCAGCTGAGCAGGGACAGCAGGCGCGCTGGGATGGCCAAAGACCAGGCTGGCCTTGAGGGCAGCACGGTGCAGGGCTGTGCCTGTCAGGGTGGGCAGCATGGTGGCGGCGGGGCACAGGCCCTGGGTTGGGACCTGGTTTTGCAATGCCAGGGTCGGGTTTCGCTGACGTGTCCGTGCTGCAACCAGCTGCTGACTCTGAGCCTCTCAGCCCTTTAATTATGCTGGCATTTCCTCCCCAGCTGCCAGGCTCCGCTCACTGGCCCCGAGCAGGTTGGGCTGGGTCGTGACCGCGGCCGAGCATCCTGCCTTGCCGGTCGGGCACCACACGCTTCACCTGTGGCTCCACACCTCTGCCACCGCTCTGCTGACACCATCGTGCTCCTCCGGCACACACCAGCACGCTGCCCAGCCCCTCGATGGGCACGTGGGGCCAAGAGGTGAGCCCAGCCTGGAGCCTGGAGCCTGGCAGCTTGGCAGGGGCAGCACGGCCGCACTGGGGAGAAGCGGTTCTCCCAGAGGTGCTTGGCCATCTTGCCCTGGCAGCAGCCTGCTGCTCCTTGGCTGAGCTCCCCAGGCCTGCACCGCAGATACTTGCCGAATTATTCATATTTTCCGGCTGCAGGAGGATCCAGGCTCAGCCTCCCCCTCTTGCACAGCCTCTCCCTGCCAGCCTGAGGGAGTGGGAGCACTGTTCCCGTTCCCTGGGATGAACAGCTGGGTGTCCACTTGGTGCACACGGGGACACAGCACCCCTTTCTGTGCCCAAGGAAGAGCCCGATGCCAGCCAGGCGCAGCACGGGGCGAGTGGCAGTGCTGGCTGCTGTGGTGACAGTAGTGTGTCCCCAGCCCTAAGCTGCAGGGTGACACCTGGGCAGGAGGGGGCAGTTGGAGCTCCATGCTGCCACAAGGAAGTAAATGGTGGCCCTGCCACTGGGTGAGCATCCCTGCTACTACAGTGCCTGCAGGGCCGTGCGCTCACCTGGGTCTGTGCCCACCTGGCTCAGAGGCTGGTGAGCCCAGGGTGCCCTGAACCCCAGGACTGGGCCCTAAGGGCTGGAGGGGACCGCACAGTCCTACAAGCTCTCATCCCACTCCACGTCACAGTGGATTCCTGAGCCGTGGGTATCCAGCACAGCCAGGACACCCCTCCTGTCCCCACACCCCGGTGAGTGAGGCCCCGTGTCCGCTCGGCTCCCTGTGCAGAACAAAGCCGCCGTTGTTGCCGGCACGCAGCCAGCCCGGTGGGCACCGGCACACACAGCTCCATCCCCACCAGCGCCCTGGGCCCCACGCAGAGGAACGCGGGGCCTTCCCCGGCTCCAGGCCCAGCATCGCAGGGCCCTCCCTGTCGCCCCCGAACACACCCGTGTCGGTGCGTGCCCAGCGGAGCTGCACGACCAGCCCCTAATCCTCCTTTTCCCTTCCAGTCGCCCTCCGCCGCTGCTCCCACCTCCTCCCGCGCTCCCTCCCTATTTAATTAAAGTTTCCGCAGCAGCCAGGGAGGAATGCGGGCCTGCTTATTGCCTCCCCCCGCGCCAGCCCCTCGGCCCGCTCCTGCCCCGGTGACCCGGCCACGCTCTCAGGTGCCGGGAAGGGGAAAAACCAGTAGAGCCGCTTCGCCCGGAGCCAGCGGTGCCGCCCCGCTGCCACGCGCGGATTCCTGCGGCCTGACTGTGGCCGTGCTGTCCCCGAGCGCTTCCTCCCGCCGCGTCCCGTCGGGTGGCGGAGCCAGCCGGGCAGGCAGCGTTGCGTCAGGGCGACCCGGCTGGGCCACCGGGCTTGGCGTGGTGCGAGGAAAAATAGTAATTAGTGTCATTCGTCACGGCGGCACGGCCCTGCGCCGTGTGGGCAGCACCCGGTCCTCGGTCAGGCCAGGCCGCCGCCACCAGGACGGGACGGGCTCACTCGAGGACGGGGACGCGTTTCTGCTCGGTGCTGCTCGGTCACCGCAGCGTCGCCCGCTGGGATGCCCGGGTGCTGCTGGCGGCTCGGTGGGCACAAGGGAGGAGTGAGGGATGCTCAGCCCCTGTCACAGCCGGCAGGGTGGCAGCTCCGGTGTCACCCCAGCAGGCGCAGCGGGAAGCCGGTGGGGCATCCCCGTGGCCGGCGGCCAGGCTGGTCGGTGCCCTGCTGGCACGCTTCCCTATCAGACACTGGTGCCAGCGGCTCCCTGCTTCCTTCCCCCGAGCAGCGAGCCCTGCTGCCGCATTGGGATGGGCACGCATGGATGGACCGTTCCGGGTCCCACACGTATCCTGGCTGCTGGCAGGATGGGTCACTGTCACCCAGCCAGCAGCAGTGACACCTGGGAATAGCAGGAGTCCCCCCAGCCACACCTCACCCCTCCCCACGATGAGGCACACCGGACACGCACCAGGGACTGCCCGTGGGACGGGACCCGCGAGGCCACCGTGCTGGGGACCGGCCACCAGCGTCCTCATCCCCGTACGCCACCGGGCTGCCGCCGAGGCTCCATCCCTAGCCAAGACGGGGTCACCCTGTGACCCAGCAGGGACAGCCGAGCACAGACTGCCGGTCCCTCCCGGCCCGTGGTCGCGGCACTCACCGGGGCCGGGCGGGGCCGGGCCGGACACTCACTCCATGGCGGCGGGCGGACGCTCCCCTCTCTGGCGGCGCCGGGCCCGGGGGGCGGCTTTTAGGACGAGGGGCGTGGCCCGGCGCTGGGGGGCGGGGCCAGCTCTCCCGCCGGCTTTCTATTGGCTGTGAGGAGCAGGGGGCGAGGGGCGGGGCGGGGCTGCCAAGTAGGCTCCGCCCCCTGCGCACCTGGGGCCCGGTGTGGGGGGACCCCGGGGACCCCCTGGTACCTCCGGGTGTGGGTACGGGTACGGGTGTGGGTACGGGCATCTCCCCCTATCCCCAGCACCCATGCGCCCCAAGCACCTCCAGATCCTGACAGCCCAGGGCTGGGCATCCCAGCAGCTCCTTGTTCAGCATGCCCTCGCTGACCCGTCACCCCAGTATTGGTCCCAGTTGGCCCAGGGCCGCTGGGAATCCCAGCCTCCTGTGTCCCAGTGTCTCCAGCACCCCTAGTGCCATGCTACCCCATTACCCTGCTACCTGCATGGCCAGGGATCAGTGTGCTTTGGGGCACGCTGCCACTGCACAGTAGGGATGGGGGCTGTGCGTGTCCTTGAAGGGCTGTCGCGAAGCCCGTGTGACAGCAGTGCCGCACTGAGCACTGCACGATAACATTCACCGCTCCGAGATGTCCCAGCAGTGGAGCTGCCCTTGTCCCAGTCTTTGTCCCTGGTGGTGGTGGCAGCGCAGGGCTCACAACAGCGATCCCCGTGCCTGCCGCGGCCGCTCGGCATTGTTTGTCCACGTCGTGCCAACAGACACGGGCTGGGATTGCGCCGTACTGCCTGGGGCTGCCCCTGATGTCAGCTTGCTGCCCCACGCTGTCCCTGCCATGGAGACCCGCCGTGGTGCAGGGCTGCGGGGCCGGGCAGCCTTTGTTTGGCTGTGTTTCCTCAAAGTCGATCCGTGTAAAATCCCGGCACCGCACGTGCTCCCTTCCCCCAGCCGGCACAACCACAAAAATGTCAACCCGAAAGTAATATATTGTCCCTTTGTTCTCCTGAAAGTTGCCTCTGGAGTTTTCTCTTCCACACCCATATCATGGGGAAGGAAGAGAAGGGGTTCGGTGCTCCATGTCCCCTCTGGCCACCGAGCATCCCCTGGGTGCAAGGTGGGACAGGGACAAGGACAAGGATGAGGCACGCTGCAGCCAGCCCAGCTGGCAGCCCCAACCACAGGACTGGTGGGGCAGCGTGTGCCAGTGAGGTGTGTGGTGTGCAGGCTGCACCCCGTGGCCCCGTTCCCACCCCAGCCTGGCCAAGCTGGCCCAGGCAGCCCAGGGCTGTGCCTGCAGGACCAGGTGGGCCCCGGGTTCCCTCACCTGTGGTGGCACCTGCATGCCCCGTGCCCACACTGCCGTGCCACACACTGGCACACTTCAGGAACTGTGGGCGGCCGCCAAGGTCTTGCTGCCATAAAGCTGTCACAGTGGGGCTGAGCGTGGCAGGGCTGTAGCGTGGGAAGCTGTAAATGGGGGAGATGCCAAGGGCCGTTCCCATGTGCCAGACCAAGGGCACCCAGCACTCCCTGCTGCCATGGGCACGGTTGGACCCTGCCCAGTACTTTGCTGGCACCACCAGGAAAATAGGACTGGGCTTGGGGTGCCCATGGGGGAACGGGTCAAGAGGGCAGGATCCAGCCCTGCCTTTACTGGGGTGCTGCCGTGTGCCAGAGCAGACTGCCGAGCCCCATCCCACAGTGCTCAGCACCTTCCTTTCCTTGTAGGGCCGTGATCCCGCTGTATGATGCCGACACAGGGCTGCTGGTGCTGGCAGGAAAGGTGAGGAGCTGGGGCGGTGGGACACAGCATTGTGATCCTACACCCTGCTTACACTGCATTCCTCATCTCTGCCAGGGAGAAAACCTCCTGTACTGCTTGGAGGCGGCATCGGCTCAGCCTGCGCTCACCCAAGGTAAACAGAACGCATCCTACACTGGGGTGCTTCGACCCCTACTCCTCCAGCCCCCACCCCAAGGCTTTCCTGCCTGTCCACAGTCACTCAGTGCCTGATGGAGGGACACACACGGGGCCTGGCCACCATTCCCCGCCTGGCCCTGGATGTCATGGCCTGCGAGGTGCTCCGCGTCCTGCAGCTCACCGACACCTTCCTTGTCCCTGTCAGCTACATTGTGCCTCGCAAGGTGAGAGCGTGTGGGGCCATCAGACAGAGCCTCAGCTCCAAGCTTGGTCCCTGCGACCCCACGTCCTCATGCCCTAATGCTTTCCCTGTCACTCACCACAGCATGCAGGGCAAAGGTGCTCCCAGTGTGCTCAGGTTTTTCCTTCCATTGGCATCATTCTCCTGAAGCATTTTTCTGAATGGCAGAAAAAAAACAAGGTGGCAGCTTAAGAAAATGCCCTGTTCTGTAAACAGACACTATTGTGGAAAAACCCACGTTTAAAAAAAGAAACAGCATAAGCACTGCTGCAGGGCGGCCACGGGCTGGGGTGGACCAGGGCTCTGCCCCCACAGGGACACTGCCACAGGCAGGGCTCAACCTCTGGGGAAATGGAGACAGCCACCACTCACTCTGGGAGCCCCCAGCTCGTTCCCTTGCCCTCACCCTGTGGGTGGCACAGGGTGAGGTGCCTGGTGTCACCTCATGGGTACACCTCACCATTCACTTGCTGGGGAATGGAGAGCAGCCAGGTGTGGTGGGGAGTAAGGGGAGACTCAGGTTTCCAGGCTAAGGTGAGGGAAACCTGTGGGGGATGAAACCTGGGCACTGCATGCTGAAGTCTTTGGGCTGGGGACTGAAATCTGGAGCTGGTGTTGGGTAGCAGAGGCTGGGTGCTCAAAGCTGCAATGCCAGGAGCCACAGGCCAGCAGCTGGGGGCTGCATTTCAGAACCTGGATGCTTTCAGTGTGCCCAGCACAGTCCAAAGCCAGGCAGCATCTGACACCTACAGGCTCCAGCATGCAGCTCTGCTGGGGCTGAGGCTCCGCACCACCAGGTTGCCAGGGGTCTCCTACGTGGAGCCACCAGTGCTCAGTGACAGCAAGGGACTGCAGGCAGAGAACCAGTTCACATCCCACCTAGTGCGGGCAAGCACAGAGGTTCAGTACACAACTCTTGCCATTCCCTCTCCTGCAGTCCAACCAGGAATTCCACGAGGATCTGTTCCCTGACTGTGCTGGGATGCTGCCGGCCACAGATGCCCAGTCCTGGTGGGCAGGGGACAGTCAGCAGGTGAGTGGCAGCCAGGAGGAGTCCCCGTGGATGGCAGCACCTGGGGCTGGGCACAGTGCTGGAACAGCCACTACACTGCCTTGGGATGGGGCCAGGACATGCATGGAAGGGGAGTGGAGATTTAGACAAATTTCACATTTGCCAAAAGCCAAGGAGTTTTTGGGGTGGCAGAGCACACGGGCTGTTTGCCCCCTCCTGACTGTGGAGTGGGAAAAGTGTTTGAGGATGAGACGCACAGCCCTGTACCTTGGCTGCAGCAGTTGGCTTTGAATGCACACACAGCTTCAGGAGATCTCATCTGCTCCCACCCAGTTTAAAATGGTTTTCCAGGAAGAAACTGCTCAAAAATGCTCTTCTGCAGTCAGCTGAGCTCTAATTTCCATCTAGGTGCAGCGAAGAGTAAAAATCTAATCAAGAACAGTCATTTCCCTCCACCTTCCTTAAAAATGTAGACATTTTGAGTGTGTATTGGAACCACTTAACAATTCCAAAGCTGTGAGCCAGAGAGGGGCCTCCTGCAAATCAGGAGCACCCCCATAAGCCAGACACCACAAGCAGCAGGTTTCAGTGGGGATGATGACAAAACCAGGGGGAGAAAAAGGAGGTTTTGTGGGGGATGAACCAGCCAGCTCCCTGACGCAGCCAGCAGCTGGGATGCTGCGGAAGGCTCTCCTCTGTCGATGCCTGCTGGTCACAGCACTGCTGCTTGGCAGGTGGGGAGGGTGAGCCTGCACCCAGCACGGAGACCCACGCAGACCTTCTGTTCCCCGCTCATCGCCACCGTGCACAGCAGCCAGCTGCCCAATGACGGCCCTGTGGATACTGACCGCAGTGTGAGCACAGGGATAAGGGGGGCTGGGGGAGGCAGAGCTGGGGGAGCACCTTCTGCCCACCGCTGTCTCCTGTAGGAGGGCAGTGGCTACTCTTCGCCCTCTGGCTCGCTGACCTCACCGAGCAGCGCCGGCGCCTCACTCTCCACCAGCACCGCCCCCTCCAGTGGCTTCATCAGCAGCCCCAGCCAGAAGTCACTGCAGAGTATTTTGGGTGAGCGGGCAGCAGGGTGGGCTTGGCATCACTGGCCCACGTGGCCGGAGGAGCCGTGGCACTCAGCAGCATCCACCCACACAGGGCCCAGCTCCCGCTTCCGGCACACACAGGGCACAGTGCTGCACCGTGACACCCACATCACCAACCTGCGGGGGCTGAGCCTCACCACGCCGGGCGAGAGCGACGGCTTCTGTGCCAACCACCAGCGAGTTGCCCTCCCGCTGCTCTCTGCTGGTGGCCAGATCGCTGTCCTTGAGGTACTGCAGACAGGAGCAACTCTTGCCATCACTGCAAGCAGCACGTTGGCACCTGACACATGCCCCGGGTGATGCTTTGCTTTCCATCAGCTCTCCAAACCAGGCCGTCTCCCCGACATGGCTGTGCCCACCATCCAAAATGGTGCAGCAGTGTCCGACCTCTCCTGGGACCCCTTTGACCCACGGCGCCTTGCAGTTGGTACACACTGGCACCAGCACCCTGCCATGGGTTGCCGTGCCCCACGTTGCTGCTCACCCCCTGCCTGTGTCTCTCTCTGCCTGTCGGTGCTCCAGCGGGGGAGGATGCCAAGATCCGGCTGTGGCGGGTGCCTGAGGGCGGGCTGCAGGACACACTGCAAGAGCCTGAGGCTGTGCTGAGAGGTGAGCATGGTGCAGGGACACAGCTCAAGAACTGGCAGTGAGGACAGGTGGTGTCCCTGTCCCAGTGTTGGCATTCTGCTCTTTTCACCAGGGCACACAGAGAAGATCTACTCCATCCGCTTCCACCCCGTGGCAGCCGACCTCCTTGTCTCCTCTTCCTATGACATGACAGTGCGGATCTGGGAACTGGGTGCTGGGCAGGAGGTGCTGTGCCTGCAGGGACACACGGACCAGGTAGGGGAAAGGATTACCAGGGGGCTGCAGCACTCAGACATACCAGGCTACCACACTGCAGCACGACTGGATGGCAGCTTGAAGCTGGCTCCTGAATTACGGTGCTGAGATGGTGCTGGGGAAGAGTGACTTCAGGCTACCAAAAGGGCAACATAGCTGGCCACCAAGTCCCCTAGGCCAGCCAAGCACTGGGGCACAGATCTGTGACAGAGGCATCCTCCATCTCCCAGATCTTCAGCCTGGCCTGGAGCCCTGATGGGAGGAAGCTGGCGACAGCGAGTAAGGATGGCCGGTTGCGGCTCTATGAGCCTCGGTGCAGCCCCCAGCCCCAGCAGGTGGGACCACAGTGTGGGATGGGATAGGGGGGACAGATCCCACCATGGGGAGCTGCTGGGCAGGGCGTGCTGCCAGTCACCTCCTTCTCCCCATACAGGAGGGCCCTGGCCCCGAGGGAGGCCGTGGAGCACGTGTGGTCTGGGTGTGCGGAGGTGATTTCCTCCTCGTGTCCGGCTTTGACAGGTGAGGGTGGGCACACACCACCACTGGGCATGGTCCCAGGGGATGAGGCATTCCTCAGTGCCCACCATGGGGACACACTGGGTTCTGCCATTGCACCTGCTCACCCCCACAGCCGCAGCGAGAGGAAGATCCTTCTGTACCGTGCACAGGCCCTGCCTGATGGGCCCCTCTCCGTTCTTGGCCTCGATGTGGCCCCATCCACACTCCTTCCCTTCTATGATGAGGACACCAGTGTTGTCTTCCTCACCGGCAAGGTGAGATGGAGCTTGCCTGTTTCTAGGGGGCTCCCCACACATGGCACCACGGTATGGGGTCCTCGTGCCCTCACCAGCTTCCATCCCACTGTCCCAGGGTGACACCAGAGTCTTCCTCTACGAGGTGACTCCCGAGCCACCCTATTTCCTCGAGTGCAACAGCTTCACCTCCAGCGACCCCCACAAGGTGAGGGGGTGCCCTCCGGGGCCGAGCCGCCTGCCGCGCTCCCAGCCCTGCTCACACATTCGCTCCACCAGGGCTTTATCTTCCTGCGCAAGACAGCGTGCGACGTGCGGGACGTGGAGTTCGCCCGGGCGCTGCGGCTGGGGCAGGGCAGCCTCGAGCCGGTGGCTTTCCGCGTGCCTCGTGTCAAGGTAGTCACCGGGCTCGGCCGCGCGGGGGACGAAGCGACGGGCCGTCCTCACCGCCCCACGCCCTGCAGAAAGAGTATTTCCAAGAGGACATCTTCCCTCCGACCCGCGTGTGGTGGGAGCCGGCCCTGAGCGCCAGCGCCTGGCTGGGGGGAGCGGACGGGCAGCAGGGCCGTGCTGAGCTCCGTCCCGCCGACATGGAGCCAGGTGGGTGCGCGGGGCCGAGCGGGTGCGGGGCCGCCCGGTGCGGGACCGGCCCGCATCACGCCGCCATCACAGTCAGCCAGGCCCCGAGGGAGGCGCCCGCACGGAAGTTCGTCCCTGCGGCCGCGTATCTGGGGGAGAAGACGGACGAGCAGAAGAAGGAGGAGGTGAGCGTGGGGACGGCGGGACCGCGGCCCCGTGACGCCCCGACCCACGGCCCTGCGTGTCCCGCAGCTCCTCAGCGCCATGGTGGCCCGGCTGGGGAACCGCCACGACCCGCTGCCGCAGGACTCCTTCGAGGGCGTGGATGAGGCCGAGTGGGTAAGTGGGGCGGGACGAGGGACAGGCCGCGAGGAGCGGGCCTGGGCCTCACCGAGCCCGGCCTCCGCAGGACTAGGCCGCAGGCGGAGCTCACGGCGCCGCGCGGACCGCAGGCCTCCGCCGGAGAGGAGCCATCTCAAGAGGACCGAGCCCGCCATCGCAGCCGCTGCGGCCGCGCCATTAAAGCCGCTGCAGCCCCGCCCGTGGCTCCTGTGCTTGTGTGAGGGAACGGGGGCGGGGGGGAAATGGCGGCCGCTCTCCCGCCTCTTTAGCGCGCATGCGCGGCGCCCGCGGCCCGGACCTCCCCGCTCGGCGCTGCCGCCAGGGGGCGCCGTTGCCCGGCGGAGGGCGACGCTCCGCCCCGCGCCCTCCGCTCTCTGACCCCGCGCCCTTGCGGGGAGCGGAAGCGGCGGAGGGGACGATGGTGAGCGGCGGGGCGGGGATCGCTGTGCGGCCCCAGCGGGGACGCGGAGCTCGGGGAGGGGGCGGCGGGGCCGGGACGGGGCGGCGGGGCCAGAGGGGGTTGAAGTCAGGGCTCGGGGTGCGAGGTCCGGGGACTGCGGACGCGGGACGGGGCCGGGTGCGGAGCGACGGCGCCAGGGGAGGTGGAGGCGGTTCTGGGCCGCGGCCGGGGGGAAGCGGGGCCTGGCAGGCGGCGGGGTGTCTGTGGGGTGGGGTGTCTGTGGGGCGGGGCCGGGGCCGTGACGGCCGGCTGCTCCCCGCAGGCCAAGTACCTGGCGCAGATCATCCTGGTGGGGGCCCAAGTGGTCGGACGGGCCTTCATGAGAGCGCTGCGCCAGGAGTTCGCAGGTAGGAGCCGAGCCCGGCCCGGGGCGCCTCCCGCTCCCTGTGCTCGTGGGCTGTGTGCGGGGAGGGGACGCCTCCCTCCTGCTGCCGCCTCCCCAGCGCTGGGCAGGGAGGGGAGCTGGGTGACCCCGTGGGCGGCTGGCATGGATGGGGCTTCGTGCCTCTGACCTGCCTGGGAGCCCCGTGGCTGTGGGGAAACTGGGGGTGTGGGCAGAGGACTGACGGTGTCCCCGGGCAGCGAGCCGAGCTGCAGCAGATGCACGGGGCCGCTCAGAGAGGCCTCAGTCCGCCGCCGCCTCCAGGATCATCGGCATCAGCCTCCAGGAAGCTCAGCAGATCCTCAACGTCTCCAATCTCAACCCAGAGGAGATCCAAAAGGTAGGGGTTCCCTCAAAGCAACGTGGCTGGGGAAAGCTGGCACGGGGTGGTGGGGGCTCCTGGAGGTGTGTGGGTACAGTCACTGGCCATGGCTCATCCTGGGAGAGGTCTCCCTGCTCCAGCTGCAGCACAGTTTGCCCAGCAGAGCTGCTGGGGAAAGACACATGCTCCTCCAAAGGTGCCTGTCACCACTGCATGAAGCAGCCTCGCCACTGGGAGCCAGAGGCCACTGGGATCTGGGGAGGGGGAGTGCAGGAGGCAGCTCCTGACGAAGGCTTTCCTTTGGCAGAACTACGACCATTTATTCAAGGTGAACGACAAGTCAGTGGGAGGCTCCTTCTACCTGCAGTCCAAGGTGAGCAAAGGAGGGAGAGTTGCGGAGTCTCCCAGCTCTGCCCTCAGCCCATCTAGCTACCTTTGATTGGGCAGGAACCTTCCAGAAACAGATGTTTTGGGGCAGTACCGCTTCCTGCTTGGGCTGAACCCATCAGTGGGCTGCAAAGGGACAGCTTTGCTGCCTCTTCCTGGCTGCTTAGAGGGGAAATGCTGACTGTTGGCACCAGCCTAGCAGTGCTGTTCCAGAAAAGGGTTGGGGATAGGTTTTATTCCCACCCTTCATCATGCTGGAGGCCTGCCAGCACTCAAGGATGTCCGTAGGGTAGCACAGAGCTCAGGGACCCGCAGTGCTAGCAGTCAGCATGGATGAACCCCTTCCAGAGTCCTGCTGAGGCAGGAAGGACTCAGAGCTGGTGGGCAGAGAGGCGTGGGTGCATCCCTGCCCTCTGCATCAGCCTGTTCCCTCATCCTGCAGGTGGTGAGAGCCAAGGAGCGGCTGGACGAGGAGCTGCGCATCCAGGCCAAGGACGAGAAAGAGAAAGGCTGGAAAGCCGAGACGTGACTCCTGTCACTCGTATCCCTGCTTCCCTTTCCCTTAAGTTATAGGTGGCCAATAAACGCCGTGTCCTCCACCACCTGGCCTGGCTGCTCTGCTCCCTGGGAGGGACAGGGGATGGCCCCAGCCGTGCTGCTGCCCTGGTGCTGTGCCCCAGCTGTCGGTGTGCAGTGCAGAAACCTGACCCAGCCGCAGGGGGCCGGCACGGGCTGAGTTCTGCCCTGCAGATGATGGAGGTGGCACTGGGAAGGAAGGGTGTCCCCAGTTTGGCCTCAGGGCAGCCAGGGCTCAAATCACACCCGGGAAGGCCGCAGCAGCTATTTTAGTGGGGGTTGGATGCTCGCAGCCTGACTGCACGCATGCCTCTGGCTCTGCACCACGTGAGAGTGGGGAGCTGCATGCAGATGGGCAGCAGGGCGGGCACTGGGTCGGGCACGGCAGTGAGGAGCCTTGTGGGGACGCAGCAGGGCTGTCCCCAACTGCATTCCCCCCAGGAGGCCAGGCAGGGCCAGCTGAACCCTCAGCTCTGAGGTGATGGCAGCTGTGTCACCCTCTTCCTCTCTGTTCCCTGGCAGGAGCTCAGTGCTTTGTCCCCACCTCTGGCTCCTTGCTGCCCTTGGGCCCTGGGCGCAGGCGGGTAGCTGGTTGCAGACTGAAACAGGAACTTACTTCAACTTCACTTTATTGTTTTCTTAATAAACTTCCTCTCCCATGGAGGAATATAGTGTTATAATCGTTAGCTTATCTCTTGCTTCTGTAGTCCTTAAACTCTATGCTAACAGCGATGGAGCCCAACAGGAGGAAAATAAAAACAACCCAGAAACTACAATAGAAAGGCACTTAGAGACCGTTAAAATACTGATGACCTGGAATGTGCAACAACAAACCAACAAATGAGCAAGAAAACGTACACCGGCCGGGGAGGCCTGGTCGATGGCCAAATGCCATGCTGTGGCAGTGCCGGGCGGCCGCCGCACCCCAGCCCAAGGACAGTGACATGAGGAGACCTGCTCCCCGCGGGGCGTGCTGCAGGGGGCCCTTCCCGAGCCCGTGCAGCTGGGTCGGGGTCAGGGAGACCCTCGGTTCAGAGAAAGCTGTGGGCAGGGCGAGGTACGGCAGACCTTCTGCGTGCATCGGGGCGAGGGAGGCAGCTGTGCCCCCTGTGCTGGAGGGCGGTCCCTCGGAAAGGGACAGAGTGGAGACAGCAGACTGGAGCCCATGGGGCACTTCTGCGGCATCCCCCATCTCCGAGGCTCCTGCCTCTCGGTGCTGATGGTGGAGCTGAGCAGGGGCGCCGCGTATCCAGCCGTGCCCAAACTCTCCCTCTTGCCGGGATGGGGTCCGGCAGCGCAGAGCCCAGCCTGCGCCGGTGCTGCCCCACGGCTCCGGGGGCTCATCTGGAAACACGGGCACAGAGCTGAGCAGCGCCGAGCCGCCCGGTGCCAACGTGCACCAGCCTGCAGCCCTGCCCGCGCTGCCTGCGTGCGCTTGCGGTACATGGTTAGGTATGAACGTAGCTAAACACGGTGGCTCTGCCCCGGTGCGGAGCCGGCACGGCGAGCGGCACACGCGGCCGTGTGCCTTGTCACGGGGGTGGCCGGGGAGGCGGCACGGGGCGGCCTGGCCGTGGAGCTGGGGGTCCCCACGCCGGCAGCGTTGGGGCCGAGGCCCGGGGCAGGGAGACGCCAAGTCAGCGAGAGCGAAGAGCCCAAGCGGGGCTCCGTCAGCGCGGGGGTCTGGGCGATAAATAAATAGCGGCGTCTCCGCTGCCCAGCGCGGGGCAGAGCCCCCCAGGCGCACCCCCAGAGCCGGGGCGGCAGCGTGGGGTCGCCGAGGGATTATTGCTATTCTCAGAAGAGTCCGTTCTTCTTTCGTGAAGGTTAACGTGGCCGCGAGCCCAGGCCTGGGGCGATGTTGGGGGCGACGCCGGGGTCACGGCCTGCCCTCACCCCCCTCCCCGGCCCTCAATTCACCACGGCCGGCTTGAGCAGCAGGGAGCCGGGCGGGATGACCACCCAGCCGGGCGGCAGCACCTCGGGGGGGCTGCCCGCCGCGCCCACCCCCGTCGAGAGGTCGAGCACGGCCCCCGGCAGCAGCGCCAGGCTCTCAGGGGGGACCCTCAGGCGGCCCGGCTCCGTCCGTCGGCCGCCCGCCTTGCGGCCCTCCTTGCTGCCTTTCCGCCCCTCGGCCTCATCAGCCTCGGCCTTCGCCCCGCCGGCCAGCAGCGACATGACGGGCAGCCCCAGGCCGCCGGCCGTGAAGGGCGACGGCAGCAGCGGACCCTTGGCCAAGTTCAGCGGGCCGTTGAGGGGCAGCGCGGGGCCGGGCAGGGCGGGCAGCGAACCCCCGGCCCCACAGCCCAGAGCGCTCAGGTCGAGGGGGCCCGGAGCCAGCGGGAGGGGCAGAGCGGGCAGCGCGTGGGGGGCAAAGAGGGCGGCGGGGTTGGGCAGGAGGAGCTGCGCCCCGTTGGCGTAGGGTGCGTCCGCAGAGCCCTTGGGGGGCGCGTGGGCCTTCAGCATCTCGTGGTGCTCGTGGGACACGAAGTGCCCGTGGGCTTTGATGTGCTTGCGGAGCGAGCTGGGGTCCGTGTAGCGCTTGTGGCAGCCCGGCATCTTGCAGTAGTAGGGCTTCTCCACGTAGTGCGTGCGGGTGTGCTTGAAGCGGTCGCTGGAGTTGGAGTAGCGTTTGTTGCAGCCTTCGTAGGGGCAGATGTAGGGCTTCTCGCCTGCGGGACGGCACAGCGCTGCATCTGAGCCCCCCGCCGAGCACAGCTCCATGCCCCCCACGTCCCCCCCCTCCCGCCCTCTGCGCTCACCGGTGTGCGAGCGGTTGTGGATCTTCAGGTTCTCCAGGCGGGAGAAGCTCTTGTTGCAGGTGGGGCAGCGGTGCGGCTTCTCGTTGGTGTGCGTCCGGATGTGGATCAGCATCTTGTACCTGCGCCAGAACCATCGCGGGTAGCCAAGAACGGCACCCACAGCCCCCCCTACAGCCCCCCCCACAGCCCCCATGGGGACACCCAGCACCGCCGCTCGGCGCCGTCCATCACCCACCGCCATCCATCCCCACACCCCCACTACAGGTTGCTGCCCCCCCCCTGCACCCACCTGGCGTTGAAGCCGCGGCCGTGGCGGGCGCAGCCCTCCCAGTGGCAGCAGTACCCCGCGTCCTTCTCGGGTTTGACGTGGAAGTCATTGACGTGGTCCACGAGGTCTTGCAGGAGGTCGAAGAATTGGTTGCACTGAGGGAAAAGGACGCTGGAGGTGAGCGAGGGCCCCCTCCCCCACCAGCCCCACATCCCACCCCCGCCCGGCCCCATGCCCCCGCCTGACCTTGGACCAGCGGCAGACGAGCTGCTTGGGGAGGGGCAGCTCCGGGGAAAGGCGTTTGTCCTTGGGGGGGGGCAGGAAGGAGGGCAGGTGCAGAGCCCCCCCCGCGCCCAGCGGCAGGAAGAACTGGAAGGAGCCGGGGATGCCGTCGATGTAGCGCAGGGACTGGAAATCCTACGGCGGGACGGGGCGGGGGGTGAGGGCCGACGTGCGGCCCCTCTCCGGCACACGACGGGGTGGCACCGAGGGGGAGGGGACGCGCGGCCGTACTCACGTGGGGGAGGGCGGGCACGGGGGGGTCACTGTGCCGCTCGGGGGACAGCGAAGCGCTGCCCCCACCCGGGGACTCCACGCCGGGGGGGGGCGAGAGGCTGAGGTCCATGACGGGGAGGGCCGGGAAGCGCTTCTCCAGCACTTTGGAGTGTGCCAACAGCCCGGGGCCCGGCCCTGCCCGCCGCCCCCCCCGCGCGGAGCCCCGGCTCTCCCCGACCGGCGGGGGGGCGGCGGCGGAGGGGGGGACGGCACGGGGCCGTGGTCCGGGGGGGCCGCGTTCCCGTTTCTCTCGGGCGCTCCGCACTTTGGAGATGCTCAGCTTGAGGTCCAGCGGCTCGTCCAGCGAATGCATGGCGCCGGCCGGGGGGGTGCTGCTGTAAAGGCGTGCGTGGTGGTACGGGGAGGGGGGGGGCGC